AGTTAAGGGAGGTAGGGTAAGTGCGCTAGTTTTCGTCCAATTATCGGAGTTGCCAACTTTGTGATGCGAAATGAATATCTTAAAATACCCTTACTCATATGTATCATATGTCATTTTAGTCCTTATATAGTCTACTTTACGTTAATATTATATGACAATAATTAAATACCATGGATTTTTTTATAAAAAATATTTTATGTAAAAGAGGCGATTTCACTAGTTTTCGTCCAAAAAAATCAGTTTTCGTCCTAGTGTACGCTAGTTTTCGACCACTGTGTAGAAAAAAGGGTGCAGTTGAATTATTAACTTAAAACCAATTCTACAATACAGTAACTATGGATTGTGGTATATAATTTGAAAGGTGATTTTGTTAGCTTTCAAATGATAACAAAAAGATTTGAATAAGTTTCTTACCTAAATTTAGGAAAATATTGCCATAGGTCGAAGGACAAATGGACGAAAACTAATCTACAGGAATAGCTAATTTTGGTTTTCGTCCACCCCAGTGCTTGCTCATGACGTCATGGACGAAAACACAACAACGTTTAAAGCTGTTTTTTGTTTTCGTCCACATCTTTTTAACGGTTTTTATGGGTTTATCACTGTTAAAAAGTGGACGTAAACTAAAATGTTTAATGTAATAGCAATAAAGATCATATTGGAAGAAAAAACATTGTATTTTGTAGGTCCATTGAAGTAAAATGATTATTAAAAATATTAACTAGGTGTCAGGGCTTCCGTCCACGTGGACGAAAACCAAAATCTTGCAAAATTGTTATGCTAGTATTAGTCCACTTAATTATCTAAGATTTCTATACAAAAACTTTAATAAACCCTTAAAATAGTGTTTATTATGCTAATAATTAGACATACGTGCCAATAACATTACGTAAAGTAGCTAAAACAGTAATTAAACATACCATGAAAGTACCCTACCGGCACGTTTTTTTTTCTAACTTGACGACGTTTTCCATTCACCTGTGTGCAGCAGCAACTTCCGTAGATTTTTTTGGAGTTATTAGGTACTTGTCAAATTACATTTTCATGCAGGCAGAACTGTTACTTAGATATTATAGATTGTAACAAGTCCAAACTTGCACGGAAAGTTAGGTTTGTATTCTAATTTTCCGTATTTGTTTGTGGCAAGTCGGTCTAATGGACGAAACAGGAGCTGGACGGAAAACCGGCGCAATTACCCTATATGCCCCGCGTTTCCCCGTCCCGTCTTCGCCGGGGCACAATATTGTTTGCGTTGCACTCGTACAATATTTGTAGCAGACAAGTGAAAGAGATATGTAGCTTAGACATAGAACAGCCTTTAGATTAGAAACAGCTTTTTGTCCAAGGTCTAATCTGACACTATACCAAACGTCATGTAAATTGGTTCTGAAACACGTAACAAACTATCGCACAAACTGGTATCCGACATCTCATTTAAATACTAGGAAGTATAAGTTTGCTAGTTAAGCTTCATAAAACGATGTTGCAGCTAACTTTTGCTTGGGACAGATCCCGTTTCAAAGAGCGTGTGGTCAATTAGCGGGAGTTCGCAAACAGGCGACGCCGTTCGCAAAATTGCAAATTATTCTCGACTTCTGACGAGTCCGGCGACAAATGGCCACCTACACAATTATACAGGCAGGTACATAGCGAGTGCAATTATACATGGGCAGGTACATAACAAGTACAAAACAAATAAGGCGCGTCCACCCCTCCAATCTCGATAGCAATATGAACCTCACCTTTGATGTCTGCATCCCTGCAAGTCCTTCTCGATCAAAGGGACAATTCTGCAATATTGCGCTTTACAATTGCATGCAATGAATTTTCCTATCAAAGCTTTGACGATTCTAAATGAAATCGGGATTTCAAAGCCCGAGGCAATATTTCGTTTATTTCTTTCTACTTTTCAACTTTACGTTATTAAGGAAGAAGCAATCAGAAGCCCTGAGAATTGCTGATTGAAATATTTATAATACGCCTTCAGTTATTAATTATGGTATTGGTACTTTGTAACGTTTCTAATATTTTTCATCTAGATTGATGCTGCTTTTAAAAACAACATAAAAGCTGGGGAATATTTACTAAATAATAAACTTGAAAGGTACCTCTACCGCACATTCTCATATTTCCTAAGCCTAGGCGCAGACCACCGACTTTTAGTTGGCCGAAAGTTGGGTTGGGTCGGGCTGTTAATCGGTATGAAGATGTATTTGGTATCGGCCGATTCTTCATACAAATTAGAATCGGGCCCAACTATCGGCCAACTAAAAGTTGGTGGTCTGCGCCTAGACTAAATGGTGAGGTCCTGATTGTCTGAAAAGTAATGTGCCCATTCGTGAAAACATTTCTCGGAAATGTTTACTACATACAGTTGAAAGAAGCTACTTAGAAGAAAAAAAGGTAAAATGTATTCGACGAATTCCACTTATTGGGGTTCCTATGGAGTCAGTAAGGAAAAAAGGTAAAAAATATGTATTTAATTAATTAATTCGACAAATTCCCCTTATTAGGGTTTCCAAGAAGTCAGTAAGGAAGGTAACCTGCTTGTCAGAAAGGAGGTATATTTTACCAATATTATGAAGTTGAAAAGATTTTTAGTTTGTTAGGACCCGCTATTCACGTCCATTTATCGTGGAACGCTATAGGCTAAAATGTTGGGACAGCGGGAAAATTATTCAAACTGTTTTCACACGTAGTATGAAGTAGCGGGCACATCTAATAAGGATAAAATTGAGGCAGCTGCGTTGCTCGCGACTGTGAAATAGGTACTGTACTATGTTTTCACATGATTTTCCCTTATGACTTGGAAGTTTCCGTGAAAAAAGGCAATGTTTTTCTATTTCAGGTTCAGGGTTTCTGAATAGTTTATCTGGATACTTAATGTGGAGAAGGTTGTTACGTTAGTAACTTTGTAGCATACTAGTATACAGTGATCGAGAGAATTAGATAGAACGTATAAAAAACTTAAGTATATTAGGAATTATTAAAAAATCAGTTTAGAAAACAGTATTTTTTTCCAAACTGTCTTCTTGTAAACACGATAACCAACATTCCTTTCCAAATTTTAAGAATTTTAGGGAATTGGCAGTCCTAAAACTAAATCTAACTCACTGAAGTTCAAGTTAAATTCACACAAGCATCAAGGAAGATTTACGTAGAATGAATTTAGCATTATATTACTATTAGGTACTTAATATTTTTTTAGTAACTTATACACTCGCGAGCATAAGTATGGAATCACCCTGTTTGTTATGATCGATCGTAAGAACTAAATGACATAGAAGATAAATAAAAATGGTACCATTTTAAAGGTGACATTATATACTTTAAATTGATTTTTTTTTTCTCTTTATTTGGGACAACAAACAGTTACATTGAGGGCTTATGTACTAAATCTTAATAATTTGAAAATTTTGTAACAATGCAACCAGCACCATTGTCCACAGATAGGATCTAAAGTAGTAAATTGCAGAGCTTCGACAAAATTAAACTATTACGACTTAATGTGTAAATTATGTTTGATACCATAGATACATTCATAGGCATTCAGTTCTTAAGATGGCTCGGAACAAAACACAAGGGGGTGATTCCATACTTTTGCTCGTAAGTATATTAATCCACACACTCTACACTATTACAAATGTTTGCACCTAGTCCTAGGCGATTGTTAAATCACCCATTAGACCGGGCAAACAGCCGGAGGGGTCCCGGAGGGTGACCCTCGCGAGGGTCGAACCGGGGACCGGCCATAGTTGCCGCCACAAAGGATCGGGCAAAAGCGCGCAATTAGTGCTCGCGTGCGTCTGATATTTGATTGAGGCTTTAGGTTACTCGCGTGGTTTGTTTACATGCGTGGGCTTCGGTTGAGTTTGGTCCTAAATTAATATTAGAGAATGACAGATATTTTATGTAATGTATAATGTCGTCACGAGCTGTGCAAGTTATTCACAACTAACTTTCGGCCCGCGTCTTCGCCCGCGTGAAATTTTGTATGTCACAGAAAAACTTTATCGCACGCGTCCCTGTTTCAAAAACAGGGATAAAAACTATCCTATGTCCTTTCCCGGGACTCAAACTATCTCTATACCAAATTTCATCAAAATCGGTTCAGTTTTTTAAGTGTGAAAGTGAGACAGACAGAGTTACTTTCGCATTTATAATATTAGTATAGAAGTATAGATAAGTGCATTTTCCTGTGATGCGATTTCGGCATGCGTGCGGATCTCGTCCACATAACATTATTTCATACATGTTTTTCCTATTATGCGGACTACATACACACGGAATGGAAGGATGGTGATGATGTCTACTACGTCACCAGTACTGCCTAATTTAGTAATAACTTTCAAATAATCTTTTTTCCTACCATTGCTGGCACCTGCAAGTCGTCGACCCAATAGAATACAGTTTAACATAAGTAGGCCGAAAATATTAGCAATAAAGACGCAACAAATCTAAAAGGAGACACTAAAAATATACTTCATTTATCGTACCTGGCGCTTTAAAATTCAATTCGGTCGATTATCTATTCACCAAAAGAGTTATGTCTGTGCAACTTTTTGTATAATATTTGACACATGTAGAGCACAGAATACACAACAGTTAAGGATGCTACTTCAACGACAACTCGCGTAAGAAAAAAAGTTCCTCGCCTTTTTAATTAAAAAAATACAGTGGAAATCAGTGTAAAAGCTAGCCACAATGCACCTCGGTGAAATTAATCCGATAGTCTGGTCTATGGGTGGGCGAGGGGTGACAGATCAGTCCAGGCCCGACATGCTACATGCATATGACATACACACACAACTTTGGGCGGCGCGGGTTTGCACGGGAGGACTAAGTTCGTCTGGAATCTGGAGATGCGTACGACGGATCGACGACGACACGGCGACCGGTCGCGGGATCGTGAGAGTTGAAATAAGTTAAAATTTTCCCAGGATGTTTGAATTCGGCCTAGCTAACTATGTATTAAAATATTCTTAAAAAAAAGAAAAGTGTACAACCCTACGATAGCGAGGTGTGCATGGGAAAATGAAAGCTATTTTACAGGCAATAGCATCGTTTATTGAGATTCAAAGCTAAGCTATGTGATGAACCTAGCTGAACCTATCTGAACCTGGGTGGGCATACATTTCCAGGGGGTATATAAAGCCAGGAAAAAAACAAATGTTAGCGCGAGCTAAAGGAGCACAGCGCCATCTGTTATCCCAAATATAAACTATGTTTTACTTACCCATTGTTCTTGGTGGACTTGCTTTTCACTTGACACTCAAACTTATACATACCGCCCACCAAAAACAATTTACAACATTGTTTTTCCTTATATGTTAAGATTTTGTTCAAAGTTTATTTACATATTACCCGCCTGACTTTACCTAAATGTTTCCCTAACTTAACTAATGCCGCCCACCGTGAAGAAATACAATACAATGTTTTGCTTAGATGTAACACAGACTAGAATAACTATACAACCCATGAACATTTTAACCCAGTATTACAACCATACCCGTACCAAAAGATCAAATTAAAATCCTTAAAAACCAAAATAATTCCCATATTTGTTGACAAACATAAAATTAACAATAAACCATTACAATCCGACTTTACCTTAAAATATTTACCTACATAATACAATTATTTTTTCCGTTGAATTTACAACTTGGAAACCGATCCTTTATAAAATTACATTAAATTTTGCTCTAAGAGTGACAACCCTCGTGATTTCGTCAACCCTAGATGTTTCAGTGATTTTACCTATTAACAAACACCCTAAACAAATTGCTCTATAACCTTTGCAACATCTTTTGGGGTGTCTACCCTACGAGAACTTAAATGAAGAAAATGTACTTACAAAATATAAAAACCAAAGTTGTACCAAGCCCGTTCCGTCAAACTAAACTACGGAAAGTCGCGATAAAAACCTGTGCAGCGAGATCAATTTTAGTGTCTCCAAAAGAACTGCACGAGTACCCAGCCCACTATGGTAAGTAACCCATTCTTTATTTATGTCAGCAAGAACTTGTTCATACCTATCTAAACCCGTTAACCTAAATAATCGAACATTCTTGCCTCTGATAATATTTTTTCCCTTTTTTTTTTTACAGATTCCCTTAGCTCCGAGAGATTCACCGATTATCTAAAATCATCTTGTTCCCGATCCCAGGTAAGTCCGTCCCTGACCCTTCGCTATTTCATTTAAAAGTTCATCTTTGTTCTACTTCTACATTTTCTTGATACAAATCCTCCTTTCATTAATATTTCATTAATTCCCTTGTAAATTTCTACCGCTTCTTCTACTTTGTCACAACCTGTCATACGATCATCTTTAAATACTGAATCTTTCATCATCACATCATTTATCGTTATCCCATCCTTTCCTTTACATGAACTATCGCACACAACCCGTACTCGTGTGCTGTCCCTATCTTCCTGTTTTTTTTACCTTGTTCCTATACAACTCTTCACATTTCATTTCTTCCTGATACATCCACCTTTCATTCCTTTTCTTTTGCTCGCTCTCCAATTTCCAAACTCTTTTCTTCAAAGTCTCATTATCCTCAACCAGTGAATGCATCACTACCATGCTATTCGACTGCTTCTTTAAATCAGTTACCGTACCCGAAATTATCCAACCTAAACTGGTAGCTTGTGCAATTACTCCACCCGGTATACTCTTCCTAAACCCGTCTTGTAGAACCTGCCCGTACACATCCGCGCCTAACAACATGTCAATTTTGTTGGGTGTATGGTATTCAGGATCAGCCAAGATAATCCCTGTTAAGTCTAATTCTTTCAAATCGACAACTTTTTTAATTGGAAGAAAAGATGTAATTTTACTCAACACGTAAGCCTTAACCGAGAGTTTGATTTTTGGATCGACCCGTGAATGCAAATTAATGACAACCGTAGAATTTGTGATAACCTTTTTGTTCCCACCCAAACCTGATATGACATTCTTTGCCCTTGACTTTTTTAATCCCAATAATTGTACCGTTGATTCGGTTACAAATGACGCCTGCGATCCTTGATCTAACAAAGCGCGTACCGATTGCCTTTTCCCGTTGTTAGCCTCAACCTTCACCACAGCTGTAGCTAACAATACCTGTTTACCCGTTTCCGCCAAAAAACAAGAAGTGATGTTTCCCTCCCCACCTACTGCCTGTTCAGTAAGTGTGCAATCGACCACTGCTGCTGATGACCCTTGCTCCCTATCCTCACCTGACCTTCCCGACCTTTCCGTAATTTTGTTTTTTGTTTCAGATGAAGCTGATGAAGAAGATGAAGAACCCGCCAGATGCAACAAAGTGTTATGGAGTCTCCTACAGATTTTACACCGTGTGTTGTTTTTACAATCCCTAGCCAAGTGACCCAACCTCAAACAATTGAAGCATAACCGTTTTTGCCGCACAAAATCACGACGATCATCAACACTTTGTTTCATGAATTGTGAGCAATAATTTATTTTATGTTCCTGATCGCAATAAACACAATTTTGTTTCAAAACATGAAAAGTTTTTAATTTCCCCTGATTGTTGTCAACATTAACATTTTTATGATATTTGTTTGGTTCTATGAATTCTAAAGCCCTGTATCTTTGCGTAATAAAACATTTAAATTGTTCATATGTTGGCAAACAATCGCTACTCACATTACTACTGACATGTAACTCCCATTGTTTTTTAGTTTCCGGATCTAATTTCAACGACAAAATGTGTATTACCAATATATCCCAGTTACTGACATCAATATTTAAATTCCTTAACCCATCCAGACAATCGGTTGTTGTGTCAATCAAATCCTTCAAACCTGAAGATACTTCGTTACTGAGGTTTCTTTGACTCAGCAACCGCTTGATTATACAATTTGACATGTACTTTTTATTGTTGAACCGCTCATTTAGCAGAGTCCAGGCGTGCACATAATTATCAGCCGACACTGGAATCTGTCGAATGAGTTGCTCAGCTTCCCCCGTTACATAACCTTTCAAATAATGAAGCTTTTCCACATTACCCAAACTATCATTACCATGAATCAAAGACGTGAACATATCTTTGAAAGTTTGCCATTCGGAATATTTACCTGAGAACTGAGGAATACAGATTTTTGGCAGCTTCACTGCATTACTGTTACCATTACTAGCCGTTACATTTACTGATTTCCCCGATTCTGATGACACTGGTGGACACAACTTACTCAATGCAAACCTCAACACACTCTTAAATTCTATGTAAGTGTCCTCCGTGTTTTCATAGATATCCTCATCAGCATAGAGTTTGTAAAGTTCATTGTCAGAGTCGGCTTGCCTTACTATTGCCGCGTGATTATTGATGAAACTTTCCCATTTTTGTTCGAGATTTTCCAACCGAGTCTGACAGTAAGCTTCACTTAACCTCTCCTTTGGCGATTTCTTGAAATTAACTAGTCCCCTTGAAATTTGACTTCTGACATCTGATTGTAATCTTATTAATTCCTCCATTATTGCGCAAAAAGTTAAAGTCCAAAATGTTCCAATAGAATTTACAAAATTTTCCTAAGTCTTAAAATTTTTTCCCAAAATTATTCTAAGTGTTTGAACTTAATTACAATCCTGAGTGAAATCCGGCATGGATTCCCCGTCCCGTCGTTTTTCTTAAAATTATTCTAAGTCCTAAACTAAATTCTACAAATTTTTCTAAGTCCCAATTTTCTTCAAATTCTAAGTCCCCAAAGTTAATTGAATTTACTAAGTCCCGTGACACTTGATTCCAAATCTTCAAACACAACACTATTTCCCGTTACATAGATATTTGACCGTACTCACAGTTTTCCCGCACTTTTCACCTCACTACCGACTCCCGCCGGCACCACACCTTCCCGAAGCCGCACGCCGTAATACGTGCTGCTGCTGCAGCGCGCCGCCGCTCCGACTGCGCCGCTGCCGCTGATGATGCAGCGTCTCCTCGTAGACGCCGCTCCGATGTGGGCTGGACCCGATGAACCGACTGCGCCACGTGCAGTCGCCGTAGACACCAGATGGACGGACGACCCGCCGTCGTTGTCCACTACGGTGATGCGCTCCAACCAGGAACGCTGAAACCGGAGACAGTACTATTATAGTACATCCGACTCGTAAGGACCATGTACAACCCTACGATAGCGAGGTGTGCATGGGAAAATGAAAGCTATTTTACAGGCAATAGCATCGTTTATTGAGATTCAAAGCTAAGCTACTATGTGATGAACCTAGCTGAACCTATCTGAACCTGGGTGGGCATACATTTCCAGGGGGTATATAAAGCCAGGAAAAAAACAAATGTTAGCGCGAGCTAAAGGAGCACAGCGCCATCTGTTATCCCAAATATAAACTATGTTTTACTTACCCATTGTTCTTGGTGGACTTGCTTTTCACTTGACACTCAAACTTATACAAAAAGGACCAATCACTTCTTTCAAAATGTAAGCGGATATTGTCCGCCTGCGCCGCCCGCATTATCATTATCATTAATAATATCATTATTTCATTTTCATGCATGTTTTTCAGTTCCGCGTGCGTGTATTCGAAATCCGCATGACAGGAAAAATGCCTCAACTCTCTCACTGAAATGTCCGATTTTAAAAAGCCTAAGTATTTTAATTAGCCTAGCTGAAATATCTAAAAATAACATTAATCTAATCTAACTTCAATAGTAATAACACAATTTGATTTAGCGGACCGAATACAGAGGCGACATTGCATATATTGCTTAATACATATTGTACCGGGTAACAAAACCTTCCGGGAGAAGAGGGGAGCCATAATGAGGGCTGAGAATGCTTTAAACTTTAAATTGATGGAAAACAACACACTCATTAAATTATTGTGAAAGCACTTTAAAAGCCAATTTACAAAAAAACAAATTACTCTAATGACTTTCATTGGATCCACGTAAGAGCAATCTTACCGTGTTAAAGCCACTCCACCCATACATTAATATAGTCCTGTTGATAGACACGAGATTTATTACGTATGTAGTTCATGCAATGCCCAGACACACGCACACTAGCACACCTGTAATACGTACTGAATATTCCAATTAGGCGTAGTATGGGGGAGAGAAAATCTATAACGTGTTGCGATGTTAAGTTCGACTGATCATGAGCACGGCAATAACGTTTGCTTCAACTTGAACGACAATATGCAATATGTTGGAGGAATGAGAAGATATTATACTGTCATAGTAGTGTGACATAAGAGTCTCCGCAGACTATAGACTATTGACTAAAAAGTCGGCCGATAGTCCAATCGGTGTAATGTGTGCACTTCTACACTCGTACAGTTGTTCATACTGATTAACAGCCCGACTTAACTATCCGCCAACAAAGTCTGCAGTGTGCGGGAAGTTTAAAGGTGACGGGGGGTGGGAGGCGATAATCAGGCGGCAGAACCTGGATAGTAATTTGAATTGAAATTCAATTTGAAAATACCTTTGAATATTATAAAATACAACTAATCATAAGTCTGAGAATCCTATGACAATCGCCACCTCGATGATGACTAAAAACGCTAAGAAATTGGAAATTAAAAACTGAATATTGAAACCAATTTACTAAGTAATATTGGTTGGACATCTTTATCGTGAAATTCGTTTTCAAAGGAGCAATCGATATTTGAATCGCCAGTCCGGCAAATCAAAACTAAAAAGTAAAAACACACGTGACAAAGTGGAAATGTAAAAGAGAAAAGTAGCAATTTCCTAAGCATCTGGAAAAATTATTGACGGCAAGCAAAGTCAGCAAGCGAAATGCATTTAGCTCCCGTAAACATGGCGCGGCGGAAACGAAGGCAAATTGAGAAGCCTTTGCGAGCACGTTATTGCCACCTCAACAGTTTGATGGCATTACTCCAGACACAGGCAACCCCGCATTTAATAGTTTTCATAAAAATTTACTTTACGAATCGTTCGTTCGTTTCAGCCGAAAGACGTCCACTGCTGGACAAAGGCCTCCCCCAAGGATTTCCACAAAGACCGGTCCTGCGCCGCTTGCATGCAGGCACCTCCCGCGACCTTCACCAGATCGTCGGTCCACCTAGTGGGAGACCTGCCCACGCTACGTCTTCCAGCTCGTGGTCGCCACTCAAGAACTTTCCTGCCCCGGCGGCCATCAGCTCTTCGAACTTTACGAATGCTATAAAACAATTCGATTACGTTTTCACGCTTAAGTGGACGAAAAACCTCTGAATCATTTATGAGCTTCGACTTAGAGCTTTATTTTGTCACAAAAATAAATAAGGTAATGAAGGGTACGGAAAATGGAGATGAAAATTTCTAAGTGAGGAGGCCTATTATGTCTCATGTACTCGTATGTTAATATGAAAGCTCGTTTTGATTTTCGTAATAAATCCGGTTTGGTATTAAATTCTGTCGCAGAATGGCCGACGAAGCCGCGGGCGTTAGCTAGTGAAAAACCGGCCAAGTGCGAGTCGGGCTCGCGCACAAAGGGTTCCGTAGCAGCAAATATAATAAACTTATTATGTCAATTTATACACCTGGTGAATGGAGCCTAAACTCTCCCGATATTTTGCCTTGTACTTTTATGTATGAATATTAATTTTATATATGTATTTATAAATATTCCGAGCTAAAGAGGTGGCAAAAGCAATGGCAAACAAACCACAATCAATAGTATTCGGTTGTCGCTGAACACTTGGAAACTGAATACATGACTCCGATAGATACGGAAACAAGGCTTTTACATATATTTTTTGCGATTTTCCTAGAACACCAACAAGACTATCGTACACACGCAGTATTCCATTAATGTAATAAATACAACTCCAGTGCCCCACTAATCCCACGTCACCGTCATAAATTACTTGAAGGTGCGTCTCATTTTTAGGTACAGGTTCAATCAGTTCAGGGTGTTGAAATAATTCTAGCTCACGCGGTCTAAATGATGTGCACCGAAGTAACTTTTCATGAAATGCGCGAACCACATCATCTTCGATATAGTTATTATAATTCAGAATGTAGGAAAACGTATTATCTAAAGTATCCATTGTTAGATGATATACAATAAGCTTTAGAAATTTTAAAAACCTGCTACGAAACACTAAAATTTGCACCAAAAACAAAGGAATTTATATTATTGGGGGATTTATTAGTACGTGACCGGTTTAATAGCACCTATTAAACCAGTATACCTACTTACTTATTTTTTATAATAGGTACAATTCAATATTAAAAAGTCTCAACGCCAAATTCGACTTGCGAAAGAAGTAAATGGGAACGATGAAATTCTCTTAGCGCGCACAAGTGACAACGACGTCTGCCCTCACGTGTCTGCCCGTTCGGGTCGACGCGGTTAGCTATCTTATCCCCGCTCCCGCGCGAGACCACGCCCCGCAACTCACGCGCTGCAGCGCAGCGAGCGACCGATCTTCTTGAATCGATGTAATAATAATCTATAGGATTAACGCGTTTTAAAAATATTGGTTCGATGGATATGTTTAACCTATTATTACTCAACAATCACATTTGTAATATTAAACTTTATCAAATGCACAATGTATTTAAGGTACATTACTGGATAAGGATTAATGGCGTATTGCTTGAATAAGCTAATATTTCTCGTAAAAAGTACCTACATTATAAAGATTTTATATCATCGCGGATTTTAAAAGGTGTACAATACTGTAGTATATTTTTTGATCTATCTTATAAGGTTCAGCCATCGTTTTCAGTGTAAGCACAATAACTTAACCAAAATTACAGTTAAATCAACCTATCTCAAAAACTATAAGAGATACTTTGATCAAACCAAAAATCGTTGAAAGAGTTAATTAGCATGCATCACCTCTATTTTTTTTAGAATTTTATACCCCGTAGTTATAAAAATAGAGGGGGGGGGACATACTTTTTACGACTTTGAGAGCTGATATCTCAAAAACCGTTCACTTTAAGAAAAATGTTTTTTAGAAAACTTTATATCATTTTAAAAGACCTTTCCATTGATACCCCACACGGGTATGTACATCGAAAAAAAAATTTTCATCCCTCAGTTACATGTATGGGGGGCCCCACCCCCAATTCTTTTTTTTACTATTTAGTGTCATAATTGTGTAGCGGTTCATACAACACATATTCCCATCAAATTGCATCACTGTAGTACTTATAGTTTCCGAGTAAATCGGCTGTGACAGACGGACAGACGGACAGACGGACAGACGGACAGACGGACAGACGGACAGACGGACATGACGAAACTATAAGGGTTCCGTTTTTGCCATTTTGGCTACGGAACCCTAATAAATATACATAATAAGACAAGGCGGAAATCCGTGGGGGAGGCCTTTGTCCAGCAGAGGACGTCATTTGGCTGAAATTAACGAAGGGAAGACGAGAAAAAATTATGATTCCGATTCTGAAACTATGATATAAAACGTAGTAGTTTTAGCTATAATTCCTATAAGTGTCTATTGGTTTCGTGTTCGGACTCGCCCGGGAGGAGACGGCGGCTTCGATTTTCCAGCGCTTGCGCTTGAAAAACTGATAAAATACAACAGCTCCTCCATCTGGAGCTCAGTGGTCGCGCAGCCGCCCTAGCGGGAGGGCACGGGTTCGGTTGCCCAGGATAATATGCCCTTTGACCAAGTGAAATATTTATTAGGAGTGTAAAATATAACAACTATTTACTGTCATATAAATTATAAAGCAATTTAGTAATATCTCACAAAATTATTAAAGTATTTTCTGGCGTAGACTAATTAACTTAGAAAACCTTAAATAATATGATCCATTGGTTAAAATAAAACTATCAATCAGCGCCATCGCGTAAAACTATCAAATTAAACATCAACTTCAGATTTGCAGAGCTTTCCATTTATCAAACGTAACAAAAACAGCTTATAAAGCGCTCTCTAATAACAGCTGAGCTTCTGTTAACTGAGAACAAACTCAATCGTTCCCAGTTTCAGACCTCTCCAGGCTTTTTATCGAGTCCGCCTTCAGATTTGCAAATGTGAGAGTGCATCTGGCGATCGGGCCGGGAAACTTTGCTGCGCAGAACTCTAGTGCGCAACAAGTTTGTTTTGAACTTCTGGCAGACACCGGCGGATGGCGGCGTCCAGTACGAGTTAGTACGCTAGACAGACCGCTTGCATCCGAGCCACCCTGCGCGTCGCACATTGCACTTGTGCGCGACTGTACCGGGCATTATTCGGGAGGCGCTCGTTAGAATACGCTCGAGTCGGCAGTGGAGCGCCGCGCTCGCGAGCGAAGGCTGCCGACAGACGGGGACACGCGCGCGGTTGCTGGGCTCTGAACTACTCAATGTAAGTGTTTTTTGATATCCTATTTATAAAATATTTTTATTAATATTAAGTATTGTAATATACTTTGGTTGTTTTGAAAGTGCCGGCAATAAAAATGTGTCTATAAATAGAAATTATGCTACAATGTATCAAATGTTCAAATTAAACCGGTAAACAAAAATAAGCAGTCAACAATACGCAATCAATATACCCTTCCGATATACTAAAGTCGTGCGGATAAGATGCGAGTTCAAAGTTTTAATAAGACAACTTTGATTGCGACGTCTGTGTTTGTACCTAAAGCCGGCGCTGCCGCAAACGTGTGTTATTTGCTTGTAAACAATAAATGCAATTAAAAAAGCTGGAAATGCTAGTTAAGCTTCACCTTAGATGGAAATTCAGTTCTGACACGCTGTGCTGTCCAAGCCACCATCGCAATTTTATTTTACTTAATTTTTATTGAAAAAGGTATACCGACATACAATTTTTATAATTTTGTGAACTTTCCTAAAATTTCAAAATATTTAAAAATAGGCTATATGCGAAATACCTAGTACAATTTTAATGCGAAAGTAACTGCAGAATTATTTTAATATAGAGTTTTCTTCTATGGTTTAATTTATGAAGCTCAGCGTTAAAACTAAAGAAAATAAATAATAATTAACCAATAATGGTAAACACATTTGCAATTAAGTTTCGCTAACCAAGCTTGCGGGTGGAATTTTTAATTTTTATTATGAAAATTTGCGCGTCTCGCGTTAAGTTATTTTCTTACCAGCACCACCGGTTCCAAGGAAGGTGAATTTTTCGTACAATGTAACCTTTTTCTCTAAATTAAACACATTTTTATTGCGAGCACTTTCAGTAACAGCCACGTTTGCATGACGGCCGAATGTACTCATTTCTAGACGGTAGATGCCAACAACAGTACTTGTATCGTACTTAATTAATATCCAGCCAATTATAGTTGCAACAACACTATAGCACTTTGATTTAGCTGCTAATATAATACAACTTTGATGATATTAACCATAAACCGCTAAAAGCTTTCACATCCATCAAAACCACAACCTATTAAGCTATGTAAACATGGAATTTTCCAATAAAAAGGTTACTGTAAAAAAGCAGGACCGCTAGGACATTAATATTCATGAATACACAAGCTCTTTGAATTGAATACTATTTATAAAACTGTGTACTTTAAACTTTAAAGTTGTTCGCGGTGGAGGGCGTCTCACACCTGTGTGTTCGCGAAGGCTTATAAAAGTTTGAGAAACAATACTAAGAATATGACAAAGGAACCGTTTCCTATTCATAGCACTACACTGAGCAGTCGCCGAGGCAAGAGGGTCGTGTACTTGTTGTTATTTAATAGGAAAACAGGACACCCACGCCTCGCCTCATGGTACGGAGAAAAATCCCTCGCCACGTGCGCTGGCCTTGCTTCGTATATTAATTAAATATACAGTTTGACACTATACCCCAATAAACCGAAATCACAACTTTTTTAAAAAGACCCTTAATTCTGGTCTTAAAAACTTAATTAATTTTAAATTACCTGTACATTACGATTTTTGTTCGCATTGTAATTGAAAAAAGTAGTTTGATTGAGTTGACAAAATAGTGACGTCACTTGCTTGTAGTGCCATACAAAATCTATGGGAGTTTCGTTTTGACAGTTTTAAAAAGTACGTCAATTGATTAGTGGTGTCAACATGTCTATTTTCATAAAATAACGCGCGCTTACTCGTACATGTCCAACTACGGCGGCTTTACCTTACGAAATAAATACTCTACATTTTATAGGACATAGTTCTTCGAAACACCGTTTGCTAAAACTAGACATTGTATTCTGGTTTACCAGCTGATTAATATCGCGCATTAAATTTAAATAAGCAAGCGCCATACAACACATTGTCACGGCCTAAGAGGTTAGCAGGATCATCTTTGTGCTATCAGACAATAGGTTTTGCTAGAAGCCTCTGAACACTCAGTAAATTAAACAGTACCTACTAAACATAAACGTCTAGAATGCACCCACGTTACATTTCAAAGTAAATAAAAACCCAATATACATTAAATATTCCTTTGACAAACAGTTCAAAGAGAAGAAATTCACAAAGTTTCCTTTGGCTTCAAGACTTTTTGAAGTTAAATTGCATTCATTTCGATAAAACTACATCTCTGCACAGCCTTTGACGACTCGGCGATGTTGAAGATCCATTTTAAATATTATTTGATTTGATTACTGAATAAAGCCGTGCAAACATTAATAGACAGGCAGCAGCCCATCCCCCCCTGCCCCCTGTCTGCCTCCCTCCCCCTCCAGCGCGCCCCCTCCTCCGATATAGATACGATTTGAGCACTAACGCTAAAGGCTGTACTGAAGGGACGCGGCGTACCCCGTACCGCGCGCACGTGAAGGTTGCCATGTCGACAGACGAGATTAAAACTCGGGTGAACACGATTCCTTGGAAAAATTCCGAGACCTTTGTGTCTGGTAACTTTCACAAGCGTGGGACGATGTTGAACACTGAATAAAATGTCAACTCAAGTGCGAACGGGTAACGGCGTAGGCTTGTTTACGTCGCGTCTCTTGGTTAGTAAATAAAGTTAATATCTTATTCAATGCAAAAATAATGAGCGTCTGGAAAAGAGATTTTAGGTACCCTTGGATAAGTTGGATCTTGTTCCAATGACATTTAAAAATAGGCCCTGTTATTTACTGCGATGTTTCAGACTTTAATTACTCAGTGGAAAATTTCGCCCCTAGGGGCTGATTCTAATTCGTCTCCATTATTAGTACCCCTGTTACACTAATTAAAAAGAAGTATTGAGAAAATTGTGTTAAAAACGCGGTTGCAATTTCGCATACCTACAAATACCTTTAATGTGCGAGTAGTAACTTGCCATTAAATCTCTATGTGCTTTCTTTCATTATACTGTTATCGTACTTCATAACAATATTCCTCATAACTAATATGAAAAGTATAACACTGTTTATGTTTTGATAACTTTTTCGTTCCTCTATGCAGTGTCCTATTAACAATAATGGCGATTAGCCATGATCCATGGGTTTTTTCGAATTTGTTTAATTTTAATCGAAACTCGAATTTTATGAATATTTTCGAAGTCCTCTAATTTATCGGTAGTCACAGACACACCGGAAGGAGGGTAGAAGCTCGCGGAAAATTCATCAAGCTAATTGGCAGATTCGAAGAGTATCAGAAGAGGGTCATTATCGAGAAAAACAACCAATAATAACGAGATAATTGTTTACTTAGGGTGAAATTTATTAGTAACCTGGCAACAAAAAGGAACCCGGATATCATCTCGCAACACAAATAATCAGCGAAAACGGTCCGATTAGCAAAAATAATTAGATTGGACGATGATAATAAAATAACAAATAAACATTTACTTAAATTGCAAATAAATTATTGAATTTGAATTTGAATTTTATGAGCGGTCATGCATATCACATATTATATTATTGTCCCTTGCAGCACTAGAACCCACACGGAAATAATTTACTAACTCCAGACTAATTACTTAAACTAGGTCGAAGTTTAAATGTCAGTCAAGCCAATACAGAAAATTGACTTCTTAGGAGGTTGCAATAACACGTTGTACAACACGTTGCAAATACAACGGCTGTATCTATTAAAAATTCAAAGTCACATTGGCACAATAATGATAGGCCGGCGTCCTACGAGTTTGCTCCAATATTTCTTAGTCTAGACGATGCAAAATCAATATCACTCACAGGTGAAGCGGAGGGCGATGTAACAAAGCACTCCGACTCGAATACAAGCAATTCGGATAGCAGCGCGTGGCGCTCGCGAGTACTATTCGATGCGGGTCAAAATCGATAGTTTATATCGTGGCCCTAGACAGCTCAATCCATAGCTAGGGCTTTTGACGTTCGGCGCTAGTCTGTGGCTCAGTCGTCGGGTTGACGTGCGGCTGAATCTTTGTATCGTTTTAATTGTCGTTCTGTTACATAGGTGTAAGTGAAAATGTTGATGTGTATACATCAATCGTGGTATCGCAAGTAAATGTTTTACATTTTCTATTTTAGTCCTCGTAGTAGGCGTTAACCATTTACATAGAGTTTGGTGGTCTGCAAAGATACGCGCTTGAAAATAAGCATTTCCTCATGTGTAAATAAACTATTGAACAATCGGTTGAATATATTCTAGCCAGACAATCTGATTTTTTACATTATGGCAAATTATTATGAGTGGTGCGTGAATCTTAATAAGTATTTAAATTTAAGATGAGCTTGGCTTATCTTATTTTTTGTAAATAAGAATTTATTGTTTACTTTATACAGGGTGTTAGGTAAATGGGTATATGAGCCGACACTAGCCCATGTTAACATGGGCATATAAATGGTATGGTGAAGTCAGAAAGTTGATATCATAATTTATTTTTTTTAAATTTTCATACAAAATAAATTCGATTAAATCCGATTTTTTTGAAAAATAATAAAAATAAAATGAAGATATCAATTTTCTGACTTCACCATACCATTTATATGACCATGTTAACATGGGCTAGTGTCGACTCATATACCCATTAACCTAACACCCTGTATACAACTACAATATTAAATTTAATTATTATGTAAATGAAAATGTATCTTTAAGATAACTCACCTTTTTGTACACCGACTGGTACGTTGTGCTCATTTTCGGTGCCGAAGACTTTAGGGGGAACCGTTCCATGGCCTCTTCACTGAAACAAACAAGCTTTTATTAACTCACAAATGCACATAGGTTTCCCCTAACCTTCTCTGCCGAACCTCTTTCTAACCATAGGCTGCTGGACCCAATGACATCTCCATCATCAATGAAGGTGCCACATTTACCCTAAATCGCGTGACTTTGTGATTAAGACTACAAAGTCACGCGATTATGGTAAATGAGGTGCTCTCACAAATCACCTAAAATCAAGAGGAGCGGAGGAATCAAGTGCCGCTTTAAATCATCGCATCATCAATGTGACGACAAACTGACGACAATGTAATGCTGCATTTACCGATACTCTTTGCTTTGGAGCGACTAGACAACAAATTCGGTTGATACACTTGAGAATTGAGCTTAGCCGGGTTAGGATGCGCATCGTGATAAAATCTTATCGATGATTTTAGACGACAAACGTATAGGCTTATCGCGTAAAATCGATATAATGGTGCGACAAATGTTTATCATAGCGTGAATGCTAGGCCTACAGAATTGCTGCCGTCTCTAAGTCATCAGCATCACCCACATCATTGTTAGTAAATACCTAATTATCTAAGCACTTCGAGTTTTGTGCGAGTTTCGACAACAAAACCAAGTTCTTAGGTTCATTTGGTGCATTCACAAACCCACGGAAAATCAAGACTAACCACCATAACCATTATCATATTTAGTTTAAGTAGTGATATACAATTTATATTACTTATCTAAGCGTCTCTCGTCGGGGGATAGATACGTATTAATTAACAGTTTTATAAACTATCCTGCAGTGGTTTAATTAACTTTCAAGTTTTATTCCCCCAACAAGATGATTCTTTCGCATGAGATTTATATTGCCATATACACAAAATGCACTTGTCAAAAATTGTAACACCCTTCTTTTGGGACTGGGGTTTACTGTAGAAACATTTTCCCCAAAATCTCTACCAATTACTGATAACTTAAAAAACCGCCAGTCCATCAGAGGCTGTTGCTTTTTTATTAACTTATATTTACATTAATATGTATCTACTTAAATATTATTGAGATATGTATCTACTTAAATATTAATTAGTAAGTAGCTATATAACTTGGTCCGGGGTAAAGGCAATTAATGTATTAATTAATTGGACGACCTATTTTATTCTGTACAGTTCTCCATTAAGACTAGTAGACTAGTACTAGTACTAATTAAGTACTAATGATATTATTATGCATTAAGTATGTATAAAGAAAATGCCACAATCACCTAAGTATAAGAATAGTGTAAATTATACTGAATGATTAATCTTTTTAATTATTTATAGATACGATATTCGAGTATGCTAGTAGTAGCAGTAGTAGTATTATAGTAATAATATCGCTTTAGTTTCAGATTTTAGCAAAAACCATCACATCACATTATTTATTTTTTTATATTCAAAATTGCAAAAAATAATATGTATATAGTCGCATTTTAGGAGACAATACGTAGAAGTTTGCTTAGCTTCTAGAATAATATTCGACGAGGTTGAAATAAATTAGATTTTTAAATGAGAGAGTTTAAATTTGTCAACTGAACTTTTTCAGATGGCTCTCAAGACAAGCAGCGGGGCATCAGAATGTCGAGATATGCTCTACCACTGCTACTACTACTGACATGTATTCAACTTAATTGAAAAGAGGAAATTCTTCATGCAATTCAATTTTATATTTTAAAGTTTCAATGTTTGACTTTGCCTTTTGTAATTTTTGTCAGTAACTTTTCTTCGTATAAAAAAATGTAAGACCGTTAAAGTTATACTTTGTTAGTCATTTACATAATTTTACATCAATATCTTTTTAGCCGTAAATTGGAATAGGGATGTTTCCTGTGTCAAAAAGCAAGAGTTTTAATTAGTCCGTCAGTTAAGTTATCAAAAAATACTCTACACGTATTTTTCACTTTTTCAAACTAATGAAAATTTTAAGAGATAAAGCGCGCCAAAGTTCATAAGAAAAGGCCCGTGACGTCAATGCTTGCATAAAAGTGCCGCACGTTGTGACGTCGTGCGGAACTTCAACGCACCATAACTATGTAATTATTTGTTAAATTGACAAATAAAAATATACGTGTCCAATATTTTTTGATATTAAACATGACGGACTAAAAATTTTTTTTTAGGAAACTAGCCTATTACTTAGGCATTTAGTTAGCTGCGCACACGCATCGACATTACTGCAGCACGATTACCTGTACGACCCGGGCTACTGTCAGAGTTGTAAATCGACAAGCTCGCTCATACAGGTTTTTGTGTTGTAAGTACTACAACTGGCAAGAACACATCCTGGATTCAGTGCAGGTCCTGCGCCCCCCTACCCTGCAGACACGAAATTTTGTCAGATAAGACGCGACAAATTCGGTTCTAGTGAGGTTCGGGTGCGGCAGGCATTGCCACAGTCAAGATACTGAGGAAAGAAGAATCTTTTAATGAAGATTGAAGTATTTAAAGTGTCTCTATTCTCGTATAAGTTTAATTTGCCCTCCACGTCCCTTGGCATTCCCAAGTTTGTTGTTTTCTTCCAACATAAATTTGGTTATGCTAAGCCACTTGTGGGGCACGTTTACAGAAATATGTATCAGAAATATTTCCGAACAGTATCTACAGGGTAAATAATTTAAGGATAAGCTAGCGTCAAGAATATTGCGCTACATTTACCCTGTAGAATCCGAATATTGTTGAGTGTAAAACAACAAATTCGGTTCTAGAGAGGTTTATGTGGTGCAAGCGCTGCGTCGGGCAAGACACAACTGAGAAGAAATAAAGAAGAAACAACCTACTTTATGAAGAAGATAATGTATACTAATTCATATGAATGACACTGCCCAACTCGTTACCTATCAACCACAATTTTGTTAACGGTGAGGCTAACAAAATCGGGGTCGATAAGGTACGTTTTGGAACATGTACTGCAAAAATCAAGACAAGAACAATGTACAGGAATCAAGTTTTTTTACTAAGGTTGTGTAAAAGATTTTTGTACTGAATGACTCTTTTGTTTTAATGGTCGGCTCACGGGTCGGATCAGTGACTTCAAAGAATTCTTAGGAAAATTGTGAAGATAACTCCTACTTTACAAAAAACAAATGTTTTTGACATTCTCAATGTTTTGGGGTAGTTTACACTATTTGTAATTAAACTTTTCAGTTATTACTTAAGGCTTTGAAAAAGGTAGAGATAGCCTATATAATTGGAGATTAAGACGGCGCCAAGAATGTTGCACTACATTCTACCCTGTAGTTCCGAATGTTGTTATGTGTAAGCAACAAATTCGGGCCTACGGAGGTGTGTGTGGTGCATACACTTCAGCGGTCAAGAAAACTGCGAAAGAGAAGAAGAATGAAGAAAGCACAAAATACCTTCAATTTGAAAACATTGTTTGTTATTGTTAGACTTCTAAATAATAATACTTATTGTAGTGCTCATCATCATATCCATGCATCACATTTACCCTGTAGATCCGAGCTTTGCCTTGTGAGGTGGCAGAGTCGGTTCTAGAGGGGTTTGTGTGGTCATGATTGCAACGATCAAGACAAAGAAGAACTTAGAAGAAAGAACAACCGTATTTATATTGCTAATAATTCGATTGATGCTCTAAATTACTCTAAAATGTATCCTACCTACATGTAACCCTAAGCCCCTAATAAATTGGGGTCGACAAGGTATGTGTGTTTTATGTGACGGCCAGATGCCACGAAGAACTTAGAAGAAAGAAGATGGCTCACCAAAATATGCCCTACGCTATTTCCAATAGGACCCTTTTTTGTCTGATAAAAGCCGACAAAAAATGGTTCTATTGAAGCCTGTGTGGTGCATGCGTCGTTTACCAGGGAAGGAAGAATCGTAGAAGAACATAGTTAGTTTTGGAAAGGTCCTGGAAGAATAATGAAGATAACTTAATTTGCACTACACTTACTCCTAAGGCCGAATTTGCCCGAATGGACACGGCAAATTCCTCCTTATTTGGGGTACTTGCGTGGTGCATGCACGACAGTAAAGAAGAATGTAGAAGAAAGGACAATAGAAGTATAAGAAAAAAGCTTTTTTATGAAAATTGTATATTATTGTGTTTTTTAATAACTCAACGCAGTGTCATAAGAATTTTTGATCTAAGGTCACAATATTGTATGGTTGTTTAACCGTATTGCAATGTTTTATATTACTATCTTTAGTTGTATGTTTGCCACTAATTTTCGTAAAAACTCAACTGTCCTGTAAGATAGTTTTTAAATATTTTTTCTGTGTTATTATCTATTTTATTAACAGCAACATCATTTTCATGGATATCTTAGCTAATATTGATTAATATTTTCACACAAATACAAATTAATGTTCTAGAATTAACTTATCATTTCATATTTTAAATTTTCATATTACATTTTTTAGTAAATTCTCCAAGTGTTGCTAAATCCCGTAATAGTGAACTAAATGATAAATTTTATCTAATAGGAAATTCAATACACAAAATTTAACGATTGTAAATTCAAGGCCAACCTTTATGTGATCATCACGTAACAGCACAATTACACGATAAAATTTTAGTAAGTATCAAATCACTCATGCCATATAATTTTTAACTTAAAACTGAAAACGCTAGCATTAATCCTGAAACATCTACTATGCGATCCACCTACCAGCTTCATAGCCGACTAACTACCGAACATACTATACTCGAACCACAAAATTAATATCACTATATCAGTGACTACGAGGATAATTTGCGACTAACACGACCGGCCTGTTCTCATCGCGGAACTATAATCCAGCGGTCGTCACAGGTTTTATTAAAGCACAATAACACTAACGCGATTCATAACAGTGCAGCGAGGTAGATATTGCACTGTTGAAAATCAATTGGAAAATTGTATGCGACCGCGCCCGCGCATAATACAGTCTGACCACAAGTTGAAAACTAGCACTTACTACCAGCACGTAAGGTGCAGTGTTTAGCTTTATGCCGTCGTCTGTACAGCTTATTGCGAACGCACGTAACGCTACATCGGGTATTATCAAACAATCGCAGAAAGCCGCGATATACGATATACGATATACCTCAGTTGTCGAGTTCTATTAGTGTATTTTGATTAAGTGTTTTACAGCGAAACTACTTGAAGGTTTACAGGCTAGAGCCATACGAACAACAAAACAATCGTGCGCTTTTTGTCGTTTAAAATAAATAATCTGATTGTATGCAGATATTAATATTTTCTAATTTCTCAAGACGCAGCCGTTTCTCGAGAACTATGAACTTTATTTTCTTTTCTTTTTAAAACAAACAAATTATTTGCTATTTCATCTGATAAATAAAAACTATTCCAATTCTAATTTAATCATCTGACGTATCAAATGGAAGGGCCTACTACTCGTATTAGCGGGCGTCCATTAATTAGGTGAGACGTTTAGGGGAGGGAGGGGGTCAAGAAAAAACTCACTAAATCTCATGTAGGGGAGAGGGGGGGTCTCGACACATATCACGTAAATTTTTTCAGCAAGAAAAAGGGTCAAATTGCGAGAAAAATGGGTTATTTAAAATTTAAAAAAATATATTTTTTAAGATGATAACGAATGAAGAAGAAGATAACGAATGATTATTAATATTTTTTTATTATTTTGAACCATCTAAACAATAAAGAAATTAGAAGAAACGGTTTTTTTTAATATTAAATCCTAATCGAAGCTAACCCTTACATTGCAAATATGTATTTTAAGAAATCTCACGTGAGATTGTGGGGAGGGGGAGGGCGTCTGGAAAAATCTCACCAAATCTCACCAAGGGAGGCGGGGGGGTTGAAAATTTGCCAAAATTGTCTCACGTAATTAATGGAAGCCCCCTTATGTAGATACATGAATACTTCTTCTAACCAGCTGCATGTTTGTTTTAGTTTGTTTAGTTAGAGATCGCTTCCTAACAATAAAACAGCCTAAATTGCAAAGATAGGTGGTGTCCAGATGCTGTTTACCAATACCGAAGAGATATTTCTTACGGGTTACCTACGCCATATCGAATGACAAATGATCGAAAATCAAAATATCGAATACGTTTCATCGAACGATCAAAATATCGAACGATTAAAATATCGAACGATCAAAATGTCGAAAGTCGATATAGACGTTTATATTTAATTCATCTACCTTGCTCGGCTCCGGTGCATGGTTGTGTTTGGTCGTACAACTTTTCAACAATTGTTCTTGCTGAAGCGTTGTTATTGCCGTACTGCTACAATTAAATTTATATTTTTGTGAACAATACCAATAGAATGTTTCATCAACATTTTTGTTCATTGCCATTACAAAGCCCTCCAAAATGAGGACTGTTTCTCCTTTTTGGGACAGGCTAGGCTTATAATAGGTCCCCACGGACATTATTCTCCAAATTTATAACTTTTCAGGCACAAAAATACTTAACTCGCAAAACAAAACTGCTGCTATGAAGTTATTAACAAACTGCAATGTACACAAAAATTCACAAAATATTACTCTGTTAGTGGGTAGAACAAAAATCATTTGACGCGCTTCGTTCAGAAAGTTGTACGACCAAACACAACCATGCACCGGAGCCGAGCAAGGTAGATGAATTAAATAAAAACGTCTAGGTATATCGACTTTCGATATTTTGATCGTTCGATATTGTGATCGTTCGATATTTTGATCGTTCGATATTCTGAACGTTCGATATTTTGAGCATTCGATATTTTGATCATTCGATATTTTGATCGTTCGATGAAACGTATTCGATATTTTGATTTTCGATCATTTGTCATTCGATATGGCGTAGGTAACCCATTTCTTACTGCACGAAGCAACCATAGGTCACTTCAGCTACGATTTAATCTATTCGTTCTATCATCAGACACATTTATTATGGCTTTTAAATTGCTGTCCAACAGCAAAAAGTCTACGTTTTTTAGTCTTTTCAGCAGTCCACTTAACTCTCAGCTGGTCTTACATCTGCGAGACTAACTAAACTCGACCAGCAACTTGATTGGCTGCTGAGTTTGTTCTGGCGTTTCTTCACAGCACTTGCCTTTATGTTTGTCTCGAAGCGCTGGTAGGCACCAAAAGATAAGGAGACATGTAAAGTGCCCCATAAGAGCTACCTTCTTTTTTATTTACTATATATTTTGACGTTTATAAGTGCCACTTGTGGTCTAAATTGAATAAAATATTTTTGACTTTTGATTTTTTATTTATTTTTGAAAGCAGAGGCCAATACGCTCATTATACAACCACCAGTACTTCGTTAGATCCTTAACCTATATTTACAGCCACTAACGCTACGTAAGAGCTACACCGATCGATATTTCAGAGTTTAAGTAGTATTTCCTTGCATCTAACGTCAAACGGTATGATCTACTTTTATTAAAACACAGTATTTAAGCACTTAGCACTGAACATCATTTATTCCACTTAACAAAATAATTACACTCTTTGAGGTTTATTGAAAGTAAATTGGGATACTTTATATCTGATTAAATATCTATTTTATTAATACTTCAATATTTTTTAATGAACATGAACATTTATTAGCCTAAAAAGGGGCAAAATTTTATTCATACATGTGCCCAAATGTTTGACGGAGATGCAATTTCATTTTACCGTTAGTCTGTATTGAAAAATAAAATTATGAGGGACAAAATGGCCCTTATATTGAATTATTTATAATTTCACGGCAATGTTACCAACAATAATGGATACTTGATATGGAGAAATTATATTGTCATTGCTTATATTGAAAAGATGAAATCCCTTTGAATGAAAGTTGTGAAATGAATTAGGGTCACAAAGGAGGGTCGGTGGACAATGCTGGTACATACAGATTCACTAAGGATTAATACGCAGAAATCCCAGTGTAACATTATACTTTTAGGGTAAAAAATGTATTTACATCATAACAACATAACATCATTCAGCCAGAACTATTCCACTTTAAAAGGACTTAATGAAAAAAAACAGACATTTAAACGGCATTATTACATGATTACTTTATATTCAAGCACTAGCAATCCCCTCCTGCTTTGCACAGGTACAAAGTAATATACTTAAAAAACCTTCCTCTTCACTCTATCAATTTAAAAAACCGCATCAAAAACAGTTGCATAGTTTTAAAGATCTAAGCATACATAGGGACAGACAGACAGTGCAGCCATGGCACAGCAACTTTATAATATGTAGTGATGATGTGAATTAACAACATGTAAGTATTACTAATACAAAGAACTCCTTGAAACACCTAACTTACCTAATAAGCTTTGGAAAACAATAATTATCTGATACCTACCAATACTTAAAATTTAATTGTTTAACAATGAGTGGGCAATATTGAAAATCAGTTCATAACAAAATGTTATTGAAGAGGATTACTGTTCTAATAATAAACTGATGTTTCTGATAGCCAATATTATATTTCACTGAGAAAATTTGTCTAGAAATATTTGAGAATTTACTCAAGTGGCTTAAGTAACATGATAGGAGGCTTTTAGTCTTGAAACTAGACACCTGCACCTAACAAAGGCTTGTCAGCGGCATCATACTAACAATAGAACAATGCTGTTAGAAAAATATCAAAATGAGGACATTAAAGAATTATTTATCAATGCCTCATTGTGTTTTTATTATAATGTAGCTTCTATATGAAATTATCTAGAAAATGGTAATATTTTTTTTGCATCTATAAATACGATTTTGCTGCTGAAAATACTACTTTATTAATACTTCATTAAGAAACCCTGAATATTAATTAGAAGACAAACTTAGGTAAATTTATGGATGCAAACACCTACCATCTTGGTACAAAGCAACTGAACATTATAAATCCAATATAATTCCAGCTATTACATGGATGAATGAATACGAGCTAGCGGCCGCCTTATCAGTGAATTTGCAATAACACAAGCAAACATCCTAAATCGCGCGCTATTAAAAGTATTGGATACACAGACGTATCTCGCATTCAAATGGTTTATCACACAGACAGCGTGTGATACAAATATTATTGATAGCTGGTAAACGAAATAATTGCTCATTCAATCGGATACTTATACGTAGCCAGCCACCATGAATGTCGTCGCTGCGCCCCCACAATCACCCCAAGAATTAGACGGTAAACACAGATACAAATCACTTACCACATAAAGGATGAGATATTTTCGGCATAAGCACAACAGGAACTAAAAAGGACAGCTGTGAATTGACTAAAATGTCCACATAGCGAAATCAAGATGAAATAATAGTAAAATTTTACAAACCTAGTAATACTCGAACATTTTTGGTTGGCAAACGAGGGTGCAAATAAATATTCACGTGTTTTCGTTGACTTTTACAAATTAGGTTAATAAATTACAATAAATTAGAACACAAATACGTAGAAAATCAAACAAGTTTTCATTTCATTGAAAGTGACAGCTCGCTCAACTCAACCAAGCAATCGGGACGACGATGATACGTTCGGAAACGTTGGCATGGGAATTGTGTAATATACAGTTTTAATTTTTTAACAAATCAAAATAATTATTTTAATTTATAATCATACAAGTACTTATTGCTAATTTCAATCGATTTTTTATTATTTTAACGCAGGTGCTGACGCTCTTGTGACTTTTATTCAATATTTCATTAAAGTTTTCTTTAGCACTCACTGCCACGCACAAAAAATCATCCAAATCGGTTTTGTACTAAATGGGGTAAGAAAATAATTTATCTTTAGAAATTAAATCCCATAAGGGTAAAAAGGGGGTTGTAAGTTTGCATGATTTGAAAGTGGATGCTGAGGAATGGATACGTCATGTTCTTTAAAAAGTATTATGAGGTTGCGGACTGAGTATGAAGTTAGTAAGTGCATAAAGTAATGGCGCGAGTCGGACTTGCGCACCGAGGGTTCCGTACAAACCTGTATAATTATGATTTTGCTACAGCTTAGCTTAAACGCACTAACTATAGAACTGAGTAAGTAGTCTCTCGCGCAAACTATTTAGAAAAAAATACAAACTATTTACAAACAGTTTAGAAAAAAAATATATTAGAAACCTCAATATAATTTTTGAAGACCTATCCATAAATACCCCCACACGTATGGATTTGATGAAAAAAAAAATGAATTTCAGTTCTACTAAGTATGGGGACCGCCATATTATTATTTTTTGTATTTTGTGTAAAAATCTTAATGTGGTGAACCACCAAACCAAAATACATTACCAAGTTTCAATACTAATAGCTCTTAGTTTCGGAAAAAAGTGGCTGGGACATACGGACGGACAATCTTGACGTGACGAATTTATAAGGGTTTTTTTGCTATTTGACTACGGAACCCTAAAAAAGCATTATGTAGGTAATATGAGTAAAATGTAGGTAGGTATATAGTCTTTTCTGAATGTCGGTTTACACTTTATTGAATTGGAGTAGGTAATTTATTCGTTGGAATTTTTTACCTACACGTGAAAAATTTGGTTTGAGAAAGAGGAATACAGGATGTGCTTTAATAGTGTTTAAAGCCGTTCGTAGTTGATAAAAGCTGTAGAGATGGGTATTGTTAGATAACAGTTATTTATTAGCCAGTAAAAGCATTCGGCATCATTTCGGCAGTGAAATTATTTTTATTTCGATCCTTACTGACATACATTAGTGCCGTCGATGTTTTTTTTCAATACAGTCTCAAAATTATAGCCTGACCAGGAACATAAAAACCCTGGCATAGAGGCGCCTCAATTGCATTTGATAGTGCAACACTGAGTACAGTCGTACCTGTGTTAAATTAATAGGCTAACTTTATGTATCAGGATTCAGGATTACGGGCTAATTTGATATTTTCATAAATTAACGAAAAAATATTATTATAGGTAACCTGATTTAAATAAATTAAATGAAACCATCAATCGAGCTAGTAGATTTATTTTATTATTCATCAATAATCAAATTCAGAACTTGAATATTCAACTGCAATGTCTGCTCATGAACGCTTCAAACTCGGTACTTCTTTCCCAATCCCATAAAATTCAACACTTAGAAAGTGACAAAAATTTTAAAATAGGTAGTTGAAACAAANTTTTATGAAACTAGGTCATTTACTTACTAGGATATTTAAAAGTATGGAATTAAGTACGAATTACTAGTAGTACTATTTAACATAATGGAATAACGATCATTACTTTCATAAACATTAGGCACAACAACAATATTATTTGCAAATTAATAATGTAGAATTGTAGAATAACGTCTACCGCTACAAAATTATTTTAATCCACAGTCAGACTAGCTATAAATTTAACAAAATATCAGTATTATCGGAATTAATTAATTTTTGAATTGAGTCACACGATATCATTCGATGACTATGCGAATGCAGTACGATGATACGATTACTTTTACGTTGCGGCAATCACTAAAATTCGCTAAAATGACACTAATGACGTTTAAAAAGTGGCACGCTCGGCTTCATACAATTTTTGACACATGCTGCATCTATCCATATCTGTGGTCTATATATAATTTTTTTAAAACGCATATCTATAGAACGCCATCTATGAATTTCAGCTTGCACTTCATTGTATGACTGCAGTGCTTCAGAGACTGTCCGTACAGCACATCACTATCGGTCCACCAAAATAAAGTTTATTTAATGTATTTATTTGTTTCGTAAAAATAACATTATAGTAAAATTACTTTAATTAATTTTAATTTATTTTGTTTTAGTTTGAAAATTAATTATCACATTGGTAAAAAAAAAATACCACGCGGTATCGGTTTTCAATACTCTCACCGGTTACTGGAATCGTAGGTGATGTCTCGTCGATTTGTATAAAATGGCGTCAGCCGAGTTTTTAGAGCAAGCTTTGTCTACAGACGTTGATGAGAACGCAGTGAACGCGATTGTGGGCTCCCTTGAAAATCAGCTAGTTACATCTGTTTCGGCCCCGTCTTCACATAGTAATATTTTAAACGGTGTTCAAAGTCAGCTTTCTAATATAGTATCGGGAGGAAATTCTATTATCGGTGTACAAAAATATAACACGGACCAAATCAGTGGCAGTGGTGTAGTGACTGGAATCCAATCTGCGATTGTAAACAGCAGTGGCTCGTACAACAATGTGCAATGTGTCCCGTCTTCATACGTGTCTCAAACGCTAACGTCTAATTCGGGGGAATCGTTGAAAGTGATATATTCGCAGACTCAGGGTTTGTGTAACCCCAGCAACCGTGTGACGTTTCCCGCTCAGTCTATCGCCAACGGTTGTATATTGGCATCTGGTCAGGCGCAGCTGGTCCAGTCAGTAAACAAGGGTGTTGCTATGCAGCCACCTTTAGTGATTAAGCCAGGGTCGTCGGGCGGTCAAGTCAGTATGCAGCCTGGAATGGTAACAGTCCCCATGTCTGTCAACTCCAGCATGCCTGGCGCGATCTCCAACGTGATGACATTAAACAAGCCAGGAGGGCAGAATGTCGTAGTGACAACCCAGAACCTGGGATCAGCTCAGCCCACCATCATGCCTAATGTGCAGATACTGAATATGAGGCCTGGTGCCCCTAATGTAGCAGCTCAAAAGTCTGTGGCAACAGTGTCACCGCGTGTGGTGATTGGTGCTCCGCAAGTGGTCGGTGCGAGGGCCGCTGCTCCTGGTGTGAGTTAAATTTATTCGACCACTCAAATGAATCTCTAAAGTTGCTGTTAGAATAAGTCACTAAACCATCATTTAACTCCCATAAGTAATATTATTATCATTATTCAGGGTCTTTTCTTGAGAGTGGTATTTATTAGACGACTCAATTCATATACCTACATTTTGATCCACAATTATTGTAAATCTAACACATTTGCTTCTCAAGTTGAGAACCCTGCTTTTTCACCGTGACATGCTTTTGTATAATAGCAAGAATCCAGTGAAATGAATGTGTAATACAGCTTGTAAATACTGCATTATACAGTAATCCTCTTATCTGTTTACTGTTTGGTATTTCAACATCACCATTGGATGGACCACAAGTGCTGGATTTCTATGATTCATGTTGCATGAGTGGTATTATTTCATCCTACATCTCTCATTTCACTTAAAACAGCTGGTTAGGATTGGGACTTAACATTGAAGATCATTATTCTGGTTTAATAATAATACCATGCCTTTATTACTACTTTTATTATGGTAATTTTAATGTATGTCTTAAAGTGCTAGCAAAAATAATTTGTACATATTATTTTAACATTAGTTGGTTAATTGTTCAATGAAATGATTAAGAATAATTTCTAAACATTTTCTACACCTACTTAGCATTTATTAATTTATGCGAATTCTTTCAATATTTAATGACTCAGGAAAATATTAGTTAATTAATTCATTGTTAATTACTTCAAGTTTCAAGTCATTAGACAACTTTCACTAATCACCTAAAATATATTAAGTATCTAATAAGTTAATTTATCTGGCTGGATAACATGTGGCAATTACTATCCAAACTTTTTATGTTGTCGATAAAAGAATTTACAATGTTGTTGGCATCTGCTGTCTTTATCTATGTATCCTTGAGCTTGTCTATGCTAATATAAACAGTGCATAATACCCTGCCTGCACCGTTTCACTTGATGTTGCACCTAAATGTTAGTTAATCCTCACCAAGTTATATCTAACAAATGACCTGCTTTAAAATCATACTCTCGGTTTTATCAAAGTCATTGTATCACGAAGTATATAAAAAAAATCACATAAATCACTTGGATTTCTGCGAGTCAAATTAAATTGAAACAAGGCGTTCATTTTTAGATAACGCTGCAAACCCTGCAAAGTCTACAACCGGGGCAGCAGGGTCATTTGTTGTTAAAGACTGAGACGGGTCAGTACCAGCTTCTGAGGGTGGGCCCAGCGCCCGCGCCCAACTCGCTCGCGGCGCCGCAGGCTCAGACCATCCGGCTGTCGACCGTGCCGGCAGTAAGTAGGCACAGCCACACACCCACAACACTGAAGCCGGACAACCGTTCATTGTCCGGTTTCAAATAATCAATCATGCATGTACTATTGTGGTGAAGGTGCATGTCCTAAGGTAATTAACAAGGTAAGAACTAATCGGAACTTTCAGTGTCATTGTGTATCCATTAACCCTGATTAATTCTGTTTGCATCATTGTTAATTGTGAGTGCATCGAGTCTGATAAATGATTTGCATTTTCGGAGTAAATGTGTAATGCGTGTAACATGAATATGCGAAGCTAAAGTAGTTGGTCCGTGTTGGCTTGTGAATGTGCTTGATCAGTGGCAGGTGTGTTGTCGGCGGTTGTTTGAAGGCGTGTGTTTGTTGCGCAGCACCCGGGCGTAGCGACGGTGTCGACGAGCATGGCGCAGCCGGGGCCGATGCCGCAGATGCCGCAGGGGCCGGTGGCGACGCCCGTCGTGGCCCCGGCGCCCGTCAACGTGGCAGGCGCCGCGCCGCAGCCGCCTACCGTCACCACACAAGTGAGCATTTCATATTCATTGAACTGTGTGAAATGCAACTTTATGCTTAGCAAACATAAATCTTATTTGATAAAGTGTTATATAAAATAATACTTCAGATGTAGGTACCTAATATACCTTTGGCTTTGGGGAAATTGCGGAAGAAATGAGCTACAAATCAATGTTGCTAAGGAAAAGCTTACACTTCCCTAATATCTGTACCGTATTTTCCTTAGAAACCAAACGATAACACCAAGGAGAAGTGTAGGAACTTTCTCGCGAACCTGCTGGATTTGTCGAGCAAGGAGCCCAAGTCGGTGGAGGAGAACGTGCGGAATCTCATCCAGGAGCTGATCGACGCTCAAGTGGAGCCCGAGAAGTTCTGCGACAGACTCGAAAGACTGCTCAATGCTAGTCCACAGCCGTGCCTCATCGGCTTCCTAAAGGTATGTGTCACGACGGTAATACTCAAGTATTAAGACCTATCACAAGTTAGAATCATTTCTTGAGTATAGATTCAAGCAACCCTACTCTATCCACTAAAAAATACACCAAGGGCCTTATTACAAAAAAGTTAAACCATTGTTGATGATGAACACTTGTTAACAATATCATTTTCATACTAAATGACAATTTAAACTATAGTTCTTCGTTGATAGTAAAAAGGTTATCATACATTTTTGTTTTATGCCACTTGTCATAATTACTATAATGTATGATATTCTTTAGTAGTGAACTGATAATGCTGAGGCCACATTGATTCCAAAAAGAATCTCTTAGCAGTTTTCTTGATTACAATTTTCAATGTCTGTATTTTTCAGAGAAGTCTACCACTACTTAGACAATCCTTAGTCACAAAAGAATTGGTGATTGAGGGGATCAATCCACCGCCAGCTCACGTGGCCTTCTCCACGATCCCTTCCCTGCCCACGCCACCGCAACCGGTCCTTGCAACGCCCAACGTCATGGTAAGTCGAACTAGAAACCAACTGTAGTGTGTTCGTGGCTTATCTAACTAACCAATTACATTACAGGTCTGTAAAGAAAGGTTTAGATTATCTAGAAATTTTCCAGAAGATAGATTTACAATCCGATTAAAACATACAGTAGAATCTCGATTATCCGGACTTCGATTATCCGGATATCCGATTATCCGGACTCATTCTTCACAGTTCTAATTACCGATTTAGGGTTTGGACCCATAAAAACGGAAGGCGCCGCCACCGTAACACGTTATGGACTTCGTCTTAGTTCATTGTTAAAAGAAATAGATTCATCCAATAGTCTATTTAGTTTTTTAGACTCTAAATGATGTATTGAAAACCCTTTCATTGTAAAAAGTTAATTATTGTTTGATTTTACTTTGAAATCGATTATCCGGATTTTCGATTATCCGGAACACCCCTGGTTTTAATTGATCCGGATAATCGGGATTCTACCTTTAAAATGTCCGCAATAATGCCATGAGTATCAGATACACCTTAGTGTGATTACTAGTTTGCTGTATAAAAATTAGTGTGCGTGCATTACACGCGCAGCTATATTATCGTAAAGCGCTCATATGATACACTATAATAAAATAAATTCTTATGAAAAGTGTCATAAGTCCATATGAAAGGTTCTGTCGTAAAATCTTAAGTATCTGATGCAGGCATAGTATATCTTCTGCAAGTACGGATAATCTGAGCCTTGCTTTTTCCATAACGTTTACACTAGCGCCCTTAGAGTAGAAGCTAACAATGACAGACTACCATCTGTCTACTTGCAACATTTAGTACAATCCTTTTTATAGCTTCCATAACGCGCTAGGGTACACTGGCTCCGATGTAAAGTATTTAAGAACCCCGATCATACAGGCGTCTGTCGGGCGTCTCTCAACCATACAATAGGGGCACATTCCACAATCATTAAGTCTCAAATATCTTGCCGACACTGTAAATAATCTATCCCTTAAAAAAGACCACATTTTCCTGATCGGATTAACCTTTAAAACGTGGTATTATTTTAAAAAATAAGACCACGTTTAAAAAATAAGATCACGCGTTTTCTTGATTAGGTTAACGTGGTCTTATTTTTACAATGGTTTATCAGTAGAAGTATCTTTTGTTCCTGATTGTATTATGTTCCCTAATTGCTTGAGGGACGCCCAAACGTTTGTATTATTGAGGCCCAATCTTTAGGTTAGATATAGACAAACTGGAGAATATAAATATTTATATCCAACTATAAGTTTAGTGATGCGCATAGACCAGGGCTGCCATAACTCCCGGTCCAATTAGAGCTGGTATTTTTCACCCCGTCCTTTAAAAAAACGGCTAAAGCTACTACTATTATAAACTACTAAATAAACTGCCATTTGCAAATGAAATGACCATGAATTTGCAATGTTATTATGTATGGTACTTTTTTTTATTAGAAACAAAAGACCAGTTAGACAATATTGAATCCCCTTATCACCATGGTATATGGCAGCCCTAGCCCTAGAATAACTCGATTTAACATTAAAATAGTTTTAACACTGTATTGTTAATAACATCAAACTGATACCATTTTCATGACGAAAAGGCATGATGACACCACCATGGCATTTTTAAATGAGCTGACAATCTTTGTACGGAAAATTAACTATGGTTTTGTAATGTATTAATCTCTTATTTACTGCATAATGAATTGAGTGGTGTCATCACCTCAAAATGTTCCTAGAAATATCCTAAGTTCTGACTCCAGAGTCAATAGGACCGATTCCGTGCAGCCACTTTTAAACTTAGTTCTAAGACCTTTATTTTCTCATTTTTTTTAATTCAAAAAGTAATTTTAATAATCCTTGTCACATTGTCCTTATAATTTAGTCATGAACTTGTGTAAAACTAAATTAAATGAATACTGGTTTTATAATAGGGGTGATTCCATTCATGCACTAAGGAGATAAGAAACATACTAAATATTTTTTTTTAGTTTTAAAGACCATTTTAGCGACTGCACCCATAATCGAACCGCTAACTTTATCATAGCGCTCCGCTTCCATGGTGGTGTATTCATAATAAGAATACACTAAAAAAGGTTAGCGGTATCAACAATACATTTTTTGAATGATTATGGGCCGGTTTTTCTATTGCCAGGTGACTTGAAATGTAAAAATATGATTGGCAATATATTATTTTATACGACGATTGAAAAAAGTTTTGGCAGTGACAAAACACACTAGTTTATAGCTATTAATAACAGAAGCCAACTGGTTTGAAAAATCGACCGAAAAATACTTATTGACTGAATACTCGTAATAGCTAGGGATTGCAATTTTTATGATATCTGGAAGCAATCCAAGATCTATGTGTTAATTAAGTTTTAATTAAGTTTTAATTAAGTGTAATCTGGATCATCAAGAAAACTGAGGTAATATTCGATGGTAACTGGAGTATTCAAAACAATAAAAAATGTCATCGACATAATAATACTATAGAAGATAAAAATAACAGTAAACCTGTGAATATAATCACAGTTTATTGAAGGAAGATCAGAAAAATCTAGAACTAAAATCACAATAATAATTAATATTTGACGATCGATCCGGGTTGCAATCCATACTAGCTATTACCGATGAATTTTAATTGCATTTTACATTTCCAAGCACAATGTAACACAGAATATTACAAGGCAAGTGGAGCAAAGCGTTATATTTAAAAATATTCATGTGTTATAAATGTGTTACGACATTGTCACAACGACATGTGTTTTGAGTTTTTCAGTACGTTGGGGATAGCTAAAGTGTTTTGGTTTTCTATCAGCTCTCTGATGACGATGGGTCGTCGAGCCCTGTCCTAACGCCCCTAATGCCGATGGCAGTGCCGGTATTTTCTCCCATGCCTCTTGGCGCCGTTTCGGTACACTCACCGTTTCAGGTGTGTTAAACCTTCTGGTACTTACTTAATGTTCGTACCATCTCGCATGAGACTCCCTAAGCTCTGAAATCAATGTTTTATTTTACTGCCATTTTGATTTTTTGTTTTGTTTTCGTACAGCAGTTGTTCCTTCGCGAGCAGAAGCTCGCTCTCTATAAATGTTATTATTTGAGTAAACCAAGCATCCTCGGCTTGTTTTGTTTTTGTTCAGTTATCTGTTTATTTGCTGCTACGTTATATTTAATTTGTTGAATGCCGTTATTGTATCATCTGGCTTTGTCCTCTGTCATTATTGTAGTAATTTGATGATTATAATGTTTGTTGGTGTATTCTTTGAGGGCCGTGGCGAACGCATATTATTGTAGGGTAACCATAACGGTGCAAAAAAAGTGTCAACAGTACGTTTTAAATGTCGTTACAAATCAGGACATACAACTTGAGCAGTTCACATGAGACGATTTAATAGGGTCTAGTCATTATTAATCGAACTCACGCACCGGCCTATCCATTGCCGAGTTATCTTCAAGCGGAGACGTCTTTTGGAAGAAACCGTAAAGCGGTATACCGTGGCTGGATCCTCAGTTGTTAGTATTTGATGTAATTTGTTACAAAATGTGCATGATTCTTTAGATCAGGAGTCAAAATCGTTCCGTGTGGCTACTCAAAATCAAAATTATTAAATGGATAGTTATCACGAATATTAACATTAATGATTATTTGATTTTAAATTCGAAATTTTAAAAAATACGCAATGTAATCCTGCCGTATGGTAACCCTATGTGTGTGCGCGTGCGCTCCCCGGCCGGTCACTAAGCTGGTTGTGTTGTCAGCTGGACGAGGATAGTCAGAGCCCCACGCTCACGCCTCTCCTGCCCCCAGTCATGCCGATGACGCTGGTGCCGCCGATGTCCTCGCCAAAACCCATAAACGTTATGCCAGTCCAAGCTCCGGCGCCCGCGCAGGTTTGTTCACACGGACGCTTAGCATCACGCTTGCAAGGAGCGTGCAAGAATCCGCCAATTCTTGACGTCTATACTCGAGCTTGAACTACGAGAGACATGGGGAAGGGAGCTATGTCCCCTTTCAGAATATGAAGTATAGTCTCTGTCCCATCAAGAAAGTTATTACGTAAAATACTGCAATGACGAGCTTATGCCTTAGTTGAGAATGCTCCTCGTTTATGGCCAGAATCGAAGAAAACGACGGAGAAAAAGTGGAAATCCCTTCATGTCTACTACGTATCGCTGCAACTTTTGATAATAAAACACTTGCACTTCAACCAAAACGATTTTGTTGTCTATGAAATCTTTGGTCGATTATGAGTGTAAATTGGCGGATTTTTTGTCACGACTCCAATGTTCAGTCAGCCAAAGGTGAATTACAAGTCCTCGTATACACTAGACAACAAACAATGTGACGGAAGACTCCGAAACGAGACGGAACGAACGGATCAATACAGAGTCCACTAGTGTATACGATTTGCACGCCTTCTTTTGCGTTTCGTTTTCTTTTTTATTGCTTAATGCAATACAAGGTTACAAATTGGTCTTGGGTGGTCAGTTGACTTATTCAATATCCCACCACACTTATCAAACAAAACGTTTGCTGTATTTTTTCTCGTCTATCTTTCAATGTTGTTAATATGTAGATGTTAATATGTCTCTCGATGCACAGCAATGGTCATACAAAATTAATGACATTTCGAACTATTATAATTTATAATCTAATTAAAAAAGAGGCTGACAAAGGTGACTGTGTTTCTTCCGCCACTTCTCACCACCAACCCATATGTTGTCCCGAAGTAAGGTAGGGCAAGCTATATTTGGAACATGTTTAAAAGCGCCATGGAAGGCCTAAGTACCGAATAATAGCTATATTTAATGATTTTCATGACATTAATATCTAGTTTACCTTATGTTCATACCATTGAACTCAGTTATTTGGCTACAATTCGAAATAAATTAGCTAAATATGCTGTTTTCATATTCTATTTGATGCGTCTTGTTCGAGGTAGTAACAAAACGCAATGATTAACATAATTTTAAAAACATGAACATAACCTATTAGGTTGAAAATTCTAGTAAGAAGTTGTAAACCAATTTACCATAACTGTTTATATGTTATATTATTTATATTCTAGAATCGTCAGAATTTGGTGTAATGAATGTTATTGTCATATTAACGTAGAATAATTTGCATGAGTACATAAATTTATGTAACCCACTTTTCTTTATTATTAGGTGTATTACAATTTTTATTACCTATTGTTACAAAATACCGTAGCGAGAATGCACATAAAGATAAATTCTTAGTTATTGTGTTCAACATTTTTAGGTTAAGTATAGATTTTAAGGCTTTCTGTAGTACTTGTTGTTATCAGTAATCAATGTCGGTCTAATTTTACGTATGTATCGCACAGTAATGGGTAGTTTTAATGGTTAAGTTTCCAGATCGCAACAGAATAACGGGCTTCGCATACTCTCAACACCATATAAATGCGTGTTTTCACAATGATACGCATACAAACTCTCTCGGATTTGCATAAAAGTATCTGTGTTCAAGTATCTACAAGTTAGGATTCAAGCTGTCTGACAGACAAACAGCTTTAAAAAAATAAGATACACGTTGGCACCCTTTTTTTTCTTTGTGTAACGTGAAAAAAGCTATTGGGCTGTACACACTTTTCTAATTTATTATACGTTTAAACAATTTTATATTCAGCCACCTATAGATAGTCACGAGGTCACTATTTTACGTGTACATACGTGACAATCAACCGCGCTATTACTGACTTGGTTATCTTTACAGTTGGACCGTTTATAGATTTATCGTTATCAATAGATTCAATGTTGCATGACCGCAGTAGAAACAATATGCTCACTTATTAATGTTAAGTAGACAATATTACTGTTTAGATTTTGGTTTCAATGGAACATATTTGGGAAAAATTGAAGTCTTCTGAAGGCACATATAATCGTGCACTATAATTAATATATGAAACGATTAAAATGACTCATTCTTGCCTATTAGCAGAACAATTTCATTTCTCTCAAATGTTTTCCGTGATCCACCTGACGAAACTAACTAGTTTATTTTAGTAACCTAAAGTATTTGTCGTTGTATGCATCCAATGTTGTACATCAAACATGCATGACAAAACTTTAGTATTTAGTAGACGCCGAATGGTACTTTGTTGCTGTGCGCTGGCAAGTCATGTGCTTACCATGAGTTCACATTTTTTCACACTTTCAGCAACAAAAGCCCGCGCCAAAGCCGGGGAGTTCGATCGCGGTCCTTCAAAACATCCCAGTGCAGACGAAAATCAACGTCGGCAAAGTCGGCAAGTCCATGACCGTCAACAGCAAGGCAAACTTCGCGCGCTCCGGGGTCCCGTCCGCTGCCCTCTCCACCGTCCTCACTCCTGGGAAATCCCTTCTCAAGGACAAGGAAAAGAAAATGCAGTATTCTTCGCAGCCTTTCGCCGACGACAAGATGGCCGGCGATGACGACATCAACGACGTGGCTGCTATGGGAGGGGTCAACTTGGCCGAGGAGTCGCAAAGGATTCTGGGCTCCACGGAGCTCATCGGCACCCAGATTAGGTATGTAAGCTACGACGGTTTCATGAATGCGAAATGCCTCTAGAAATTGTGCCTGCTTATGCAACACAGATTTATTCAGTTTCCTGCACCTAAAGTGTCCCACATAATCGATACATTTATACATTGACTCGCAATGCGCAATATTGTCTTGCATGAAATGAATAGTTAACTTCTTTGTGTCCACTTGCCCATTCGGGATAGATTCTTCGTAGCGGACTAACGTGTAGTTGAAATTGAAATAAAAAGTAAAATGTCTGACAGTGAGAGCGATTTTTCGTTTTTGAAGGAGGTTGAGAAGTCGGAGGACGATGTGTTCGTGGCGGACGAGTCGTTTTTGGAAGAGGATCCTGTTGTGAATGCGGACGATGGTCCGGTGGTTTCCAGGTCGTGCAAGGACGAGTACCTGGTGCCGACGGGCCCGCTGCACGCGCGGCTTCGGGCGGCGGCGGCGCGGCACGGGCTGGACGAGCCGGCGTTGGAGCTGGCCGGGCTGCTGAGCCACGCCGTGCACGAGCGCCTCAAGAACTTGGCGGAGAAGCTCGCCGTCATCGCGCAGCACAGGATCGATCTCTACATCAAGGTAAACTAAATTTTCCAATCTGTCACTATCTTTGTGTTCCTCATTTATTTTTCTGTTTTATTTTATTTTGTTTCCGACTGACAGCATGTCGGACCTATATCTACATATATTTTAGTTGCAAAAAATAACTATTACAACTACATAAGATTCCATAGTGGTTGGCTCGATATGCTGTTGTCTGTGCACTAGGTTTTGGCTTGTTGTTAAAAATTTTAGTCCTAAGAGTGGCTCATTTGTAACCAATATTGTAATAGCTATAAATGTTATAGGCACTAATTTGGTCTTTAATCATATTCATCTTTACTATAGTACTATTGATTGTGCATGACTGTATGTTGCCTTAAATAAATAAATAAAAAAAAAAACTACCCATCACTACCTTAAAGACCTTTACTGGCAAAATATCCCACCGCGCCGCTCGACTATTGTGGTGAGCCCACTCGTAACACAAGCTCATTTAGCTTAACACGAGGGGCTAACGGGACTATTAGTAATTTGGGCAATACAAATTGCTAATAATCTTTTTTAATAAAAAAGAAAAGAAAAAGAAAATAATAAGTTCATCTTGTCTCTTTTTAAATGTATTAATCTATTTGTGTTAATGTATATTTCTGAAACTTGTTTTTAAACACTATAAGCCTTCATGCAATGTAACCAAGTATGACTGAGCCACGCATATCGACTATTCCATGTACCATTTGTTTGGCCGGTCTTATCCTTCAGTAAAGGTCAGTCATTTTCAAAGTTATGCCTATTTTGCTTGAGGAAGTTGCCCTTGCGTTTTCTTCAAGCAATTAATATAATTTTTGTTCAGGTCTCTTTTCTTGTCCATCTTCTTGTATGGGATATAATAGCTGATATTAGACTGAACCTTGTAAACAAATAGATCTCATGATTTCAATGATTTATATTGTAAGCTTTCATTCAGTATGCTGCTTTCTTTCTGCTGTGTTCGAAACTAATGCGAATACATTTTATACGAACATGCTAATGCGAAACGATATGTTTATGAGAATATTTTAAATGAAATCTGTTAGTGTCCGACCGAAACTAGTTTTACGACCGAAACCGAAACCGAAAACGAATTTCGGCAACGGTGTCTATTTCGGCCGAAACCGAAACCGAAACCGAAACTTCCTTACAAGGCTCATACACTCAGCGGCACGGAATTTGGCCCAAGCCAAATGCCCTAAGCAGATATGAATGAGGCCAAATAGGTGTTGTATACCTAAGTTTCGTGTGACATGTTAACAGAACATTTGTTTTTGTTAATTTAAGAGGCTAGATTCATAAAAAAATGCGTCTGTTTAACTTTTTCGACTCTAGAAACGCATTTCGTTGTTGGAGCGTAAAGAGTACGGGTAAGTTTAAATTCGATATTAAATGTTGTAAGGGTTTGGCGTTTTGTTTTTTGTTTTTAAATTAATCTTAGGGTTATTCTCGTTTCCATAATTTGAGAATAATGTCCATTACTTCAGCTCAAGTTGCTCAAATAGTGTTGCTTAGAAGTCAAGGGTGTATGCAGCGGGAGATGGCTGAAACTTTCAATTTATAGCGTACAAACTTAAGATACACTTTAAAAAGGCATGACCAGACCGCCTTTTACACAAAAAGACCAAGAAGTGGGGAATTAAGGAGTAAATCAGCGCGCGATGACCCGATAATCGTGCTTGCAATATCAAGAAATCGGGTTCTCACTACGTTTGAGATACGCCAGCGTTTACAAACAGCAAGCACAGTGAATGTTAGTGAGCACACAATAAGAAGAAGGATGGAGGATCATAACCTGCATACTCGAAGACCAGCTCGAGGACCAGATCTTCTCCGATACCTCCGCGAAGTGCGACTTACGTTTTCTAGAGAACATAAGCTAGCAGAACCAAAAAATATTTATAGGTTAGATTAAACTTAATTAAACTTTTATTAAGCATATTGAATTTTTTTTTATATTTACTACCCGCTCTTATAACGACATAAAACGAGATAAAACTTACCAAATTCAAAATAAATCACTCGAAAACTCGCCACCACAACAAAACTAACAGCAAACAAACAAGCGAGCGAATCACGACATTGGCTCTGATCGGATTCATTCACTCATTCAACGCGCCGAACATGACCGATAACAGCGCGGAAACTCCCGAATGCACATTCGGTTTCGGTCGTAGTTTCGGCAACTTTGCCGCCGAAAACGAAACTAAACCGAAACTCGTGTTTTCACCGAAACTCAACCGAAACCGAACATTCGGTCGGACACTAAAATCTGTTGATGAAATGAAACGATACAGTCAATGTGCGTTAAAAGGTCAATTTAAACGAAAGGTTATCTTTGAAACGTGTGATTCTATTGCAAAGAATATTTCCCAGGCGAAAGGACATGCTATTATCGTGATCCGCACGAGCGAATTAAATCTGATAGCGTTTAAACAAAGCTATAGCGAAATTGTCAAAAGTATTCAGACATCTAGCTGTGCATCTAGTCAAAAGTTGCGAAGTTACACTCAATACTTTATGTTCTGGGTTCGAATCCTAGAATATAAATTATATATAAGTTTCTTATTTCGAATAGAACATGAAGTGTGGATGCAAAATATTCAAAATCTATTTAGCAGATGCTATACGCGTAATTCGAAAGCACTGTGCGAAGGATTTCAGCCAAAGCTATGAAAGCAAACAAGAGATTACTGCGAGTATCAGCCAAAATTTATGCATGTAAAATGACTGTTTTTGCCTTTGACGTAATGCGAAATTGCTCTGTTGTTTTGTGCATTAGGTGAGGTTATACTCAAAACGAAGGAAATACTATTCATACATTCATAGGTTTTCGTATCTGCTCATAATAAAGTGCGAGCGATACGTATATCTTCAGTAGCATGAAAGTCAATGTCTCTGTGAAGAGTCGGGTCCCGGGGTATTTACATTTTTCTGCAATAACATTGCAGTCTATCCTGAAACGAATTGAATGTCCACAAAAATACTGAGCTTCAGAGGGTACGCCAAGCAGTATTAGTCCGATTAAGCCACGTCCGACAGAGAAAAAGAATAAGCTATAGCTTATTACAACTATTTCAATTTAGTAGTAACCATGGGGGGATTCGGAAAGCTTCGCGATATTCTCACGTCCGAAATACCGCAGTGTCTCAAGACAGAAGTCTTTGACCAGTGTGGGTTGCCAGTGATCTGAGTATACGGATCTGAGACGTGGTCGCTTAATATGGGCCCCAAAGTGGCTGACATAGCCCGCAGAGTCGCTAAAATCAAGTGGCAGTGGGCGGGGCACATAGGTCATAGAGCTGATGGCCGCTGTGGCAGGAAAGTTCTTAAGTGGCGACCACGAGCCGGAAGACGTAGCGTGGGCAGGCCTCCCACTAGGTGGACAGACGATCTGGTGCGAGCGGCGCAGAGCCGGTCTTTGTGGAAATCCTTGGGGGAGGCCTTTGTCCAGCAGTGGACGTCTTTCGGCTGAAACGAACGATCAAATATACAAGAAACTACCGTTCCATTGAAATAAATGCTGAAATAAGGTCGAAATGGTTTAATACGTAACGAATTCCGATTACTGTTCCATGAAGTATTGAGTTAAATAATTTATCACGTATCCGTTGCGAATGATATGTAAATGTCGAATTACGTCAATGCCATGAACACCAATGAAGCTGTGTTTTGCCACGTAAAATATCGGTAGGTAGTGAACTTAATTGCTTTACAAACCGACCCATTTAGATACTTATTTGTAATTCAGAGCTCGTCCGCAGTTCTTCTATGCAAAGCTATTTGACAACTCGAGTTGAAAGCTCTCGGGGCAATAAATGTGGGTCGGAGAGCGTAGACTTCATCAAACGGACCTTTCCAGCTTAATGCTAATATTTAGTATGCCTCTACTCTAACCATTTGGTGATTACTACCGGTTTTCACCCTGTTGATCACGGAGACATTAAATATTCGTCGCTTTGTGGTCATCATGATGAAGTCTAATCTCATTTTTCCTGAACAATCGGCCTCATCTAGGTCCATTTTCTGTGAGGCGGTTTCTGAAAAAAAGTAAGGAGGTTCTCCTCCAGAAATTCGGTCAACCTCTGTCCATTGGAATTCCGTTGCCCATATCAAATTGTCCTGCCAGTTTCGCTTTGAAGTCCCCACAACATTGAAGTGAATTTCAATTGTACATACAATTACCATACATATGGCTTCTACTTCTTCATCTGAATGTGTCGTCTACACATTGCTACACCTGAATCACCTTCACCGAGTATCATTTGGCTATTTTGAGCATCAGGTATGCAATGTAGTCAGACGGAATAGATTCTGCAAAAAACCGATACTGAAAGTCCTTCAGAATCTTTTTAACTCCATACTACGTAAGAGAATAACGCCAGAGGAATGGACAGAAGCGTGATTCTTCTTCAAGAAAGAGGATACCACCTTACTAAAGAATTGCAGACCCACCACTTCGCTTCTGGGCATGTCTACAAGCTGTTTTCGAATGCGTTGGTTTTTCGTGAACCTAAGCGTTCGCATACGTGTTTGGGAGTCCCGAAAAAGCCAGTTTCTGAAAAGACACATCTATACGCTGCGGAAGGTTTTACAGAAGACCGAGGAGTGTAACTCGTCACTATGCTTGTCCCTCGTTGACTTTGAGGAGGCTTTCGATTCGATCGAGACCTGTGCAGTGCTGCAGTCAGTTTTAGTACAGCATTTCTTACGTTTATAATGAAACTAGCTTTCCGCCCTCGTGAAATTTCGTTGGACACAGAAAAACTTTATCCCGCGCGTCCCTGATTCAAAAACCGGGATAAAAACTATCATATGTCGTTTCCCGAGACTCAAATTATCTCTATGTCAAATTTTATTAAAATCGGTTCAGTGGTTTAGGTTTGAAAGCGACACAGACATACAGAGTTACTTTCGCATTTATAATATTAGTAGAGAATGAGCTTGACACTTTCAGTTTCTCTTGGAACTGGAATGATTTATACACCTTGCGTGCCAAAAGAACCTCCCTGATTTTGTCATCCATAAAACAAATTCCTCAATATTAACAGGACTTTTATCCTTGTCCACAGTCTGATTCCCGGTACGAAGTGACTCAGGACGTGAAAGGGCAACTCAAGTTCCTTGAGGAGTTGGACCGCGTGGACAAGAAGCGACGAGAGGATTCCGAAAGGGAGATCCTGCTTCGCGCTGCCAAGTCCCGCTCCAAGAACGAGGATCCCGAGCAGGCTAAGCTGAAGGCAAAGGTAAGTTTAATGCAGCACAGTCGATTTTTAAAACAGTGATGTTATGCTGCTTTTACACTGCGCGGAAATTAGCCAAGTCAAGTCAAAAAAGCAGTGGGGTGGGGATGAAAAATGAATGAATTTCGTCCCCACTCCTCTGTTTTTTTGACTTGACTCTGCTAATTTCCGCATAGTGTAAATCCGCCATTGGATTATCAATATAACGCCAACTTTACTCAAGTATTTTTCTCTGTAAGACTCTATTTACATAAAGTAATTGCTCATTTGCCACAAGCACTTGATTTGTTATAATATACCTGCATATTAGTCAAAGTTAACTTGTGCTCAATTACGATTCCTATTTTTCTAAACAAAAAAGACTTGTAATTTGCAGTATTTTTACCTTGAACTCTATATTTTGTTTGATGGCCTTATTATTTTGTTACCGAAGAAAATAAAGACCAAGTAAGACTAGAATCGGAAATGAATGGTTCCATAATCCGCCAGGCTAAGGAGATGCAGCGAGCAGAACTTGAAGAGCTTCGGCAGCGTGAGGCGAACCTGACAGCGCTGCAAGCCATCGGGCCTCGCAAGAAGCCCCGCCTGGACGGCCCCGGGGGCGCCGGCGACTCCGGTGCCAGTGCGCACGGCAGCGGAGGCATCGTAAGTGTAAAAACCTGCTTTGTAACCAGAACTGGCTGTACATACATTCTGTTTTGATAGCTATATTTGAATGTGACTTTTATACTATAGTCTTTTTCACGTAAGATGATTCGTATGACGTTTCGAGTTTGAAAGTTAAAGAGATGTCACATAACTAAACCATAGCGATTTATCTATCGATTTTTTCTAAGAGTTCGTAAAACCTACTTTTAGAGAAATATTTTGTATAGGTGTCATTTAACAAAAAACATGTTTTTTTTTAATTACAAATATTTTTGTAACAATTTTTATTGATAATATTCAAATTCCATGGACTTCGTGTTCAAAAAAACGATTCCTAAAAAGTACTGGTTCTATTTCTTTAAATTAAAAACTATTAATTTATTTTCAATGCGTTTATTTAAGTCAACAATCGAAAAATATAATTGATTTTTGTGATGTTTTAAAGAACTAAGTATTCACTGCAATCGATTAATGAACCGCGGAAATAATCGATTTTGTTATACAGCAAATACCCCAGCACTAAATCTATTCCGTTTCACACATTGCATACATTAAATAAAAAATATTTTTACATCGTATTTAATTAAAATATTAATCAATAGACTCAGGTTTTACTATATATTTCAAGACAAGTAGTTAATATTTTTTTATTATATTGCTAATAAAATACAAATATTTTTTCAAAAATATTCTGCATATGTAGTATGCGTAATATGGATAACCTTGAAGTGTCATACGGATCATCTTAGGTGAAAAGGACTATAATTGTTTATATCTGTCACTTCACTTCTCTCTCTGGAAATACACGGTCTATCACTCTTCTTTTTCTTTAAATCTTAATTCCATCAGCACTCTGCACTTCTACCAGTTCCTAGTGTTCTTGTTCCTAGACTAGGATGCCTACGTCACAACATCTACCTGCATGCCAAATTTCAGCCCGATCCGTCCAGTGGTTTTGGTTGTGCGTTGATAGATCACTATGTCAGTCAGTCAGTCACCTTTTACATATTTAGACTAGTAAATATTCTAGTATCGAGTCGCCTCGTTTTGTCATTCACCGAGTACAACTGGGGCCGATGGGGCCGTTGGAACAAAAGTTCTCTAGTTCGAGCACGGACTCGAAAGATGTCGTGTAAAACATCCTCCGCGATGGACTGACGATCTAGTGAAGGTAGCGGGAAGTACCTGGATGCGAGCAGACCAAGTCCAAGACCAGTCATTCTGAAAATCCTTGGGGATATCTTTGTCCGAACTTTTAATGAATGAACTGTCACGGATCATTACTATCAGCGATGAACATTACAAGCAGGTAGTATAGATTGTTTCATCCACGAAGACGCGCCCCACTATTTTTTGGTCGAGAGAAGCACGGGGTGCGGGCAGTTTGATCCGAGCAATCCGAGCGTCATTAGCGTGTACCGATAACACTCAAATATTATCGGAAGAATAGTCGGGCGCAACTTCGTGGGTAAAACGATCTATACCTAAAAACAACTTGCAAGAAATAAATTAGTTGTGACTTTCCAGACGGGCCGAAGCCAGCTCGCGCTGCGGACTCGCCTCAAGCGCATCAACCACCGCGACATGATATTCCTGCTGGAACAGGAGAGGGACACCGCCCACTCGACCATGCTGTACCGCAGCTACCTCAAGTGAGGCCCGGTAGCACGGCGCTCGCGGCACCCGGCCAAGGGCGGCAAGCCTAAGTGATTGAACACGTGCTATAACTGTGAAAAGTGATCTAAGTAACCAATTAAACATTGTGATTGAACAGAATGTGAGTAAGTGAACAGGATTTCATGATATATTTATGAAGAGAACAGATTGTATATTATATATATTTTTCAATATTTTAGTTATTTAGGAAATATGTACACAATAGGCAGTGTTATTGTATATAAATAACAATATTTTTCAATATTTTAGTTGTATTTAGCAAATATACAATGGACAGTGTGTTTTGCATCAAAAGTAATTTTTGGGCACCATATACTTATCCTAGCTCAGGCTAGAAAATGATTCGTTAAATCATGTAGAAGAACGGATAATATTTTTATCTCCAATTACAAGTATACATACAAATCCTGCTATTATAAACTATAAATATTCATAATATATGGTAGGTAAGTATAGCTGCATTAACTGATGTGCAATATCATAAGTGATTATTAGCTTATTATAAAGTTGAAGCACGACTAAATGCAACAAAAAATTTGGAAATCTTAAACTAAAAATAACATAAAATTAGGAAAAAAAATAATATCTAGAATAACTAGATATGTATATAAATCAGTATTTTATAAGACATACATTGTTATTGTATTGCCTATGTACATATCGTGTAGTTGTATGTGTAAATAATTGTTTTTCTCTACTAGCTTAGGACTGTGTCCTTTTTTTGGTAAGTGATGTTAAAAATCAATTCCATGTTAGGTATTGTTTTGATAAATTTGTTGACTTGGTATGCAGTGCGTACTATTACCAAAGTTTTTTTGTTCTTTTTTTTTTCAATTGTGGCTGTGCAGTTTGCAAATAAAACCAGTGTCAAATTAAGGATAATCCCATCTTTCTCTTGAGTTTCAATAAAGATGTACTATCCTAGACTGCATCCCACTTAACACCAGTTGCGATTGTGGTCAAATACCTGCCTTGATAAGCATAAAAATAACATTTCAGATATCTCATGCTGACTTCTTGAGAGAATGTTAAGTGGAATCGCAATGGTTTTGTTTTATTTGCCTGCACTTACGTTAACACATGTTTAATGGTTATCCTATAATATTACATATTAAGAGTCAGTTATTTACTATTAAATATAACAAAACTGCTCAACATAACGCTTCACTATCCTGTCAAGAAGCCTCAATTGAACCAAAGCTATATTATTATTATAATAGTTAAATTAATATAATAAAAAGCCACGAATCCAAGACTAATACATTCCCAACATAGTCGATTGATAGTTATTTGTTATTTTTTTATTTGCATGCTTTTTATGCAAAATGTAAATTTTGTTTACTGAAAAAATATGTAACAAAACATTTGTTAAATATTTTGGTGCCATTATTATATTGGTGCCACAATTTTAACATTCGTTCGTTTCAGCCAAATGACGTCCTCTGCTGGACAAAGGCCTCCCCCAAAACTTTTAAATTATGGCACCAATTCTGCAATTTGAAAATTACTTTTGATCAATCTAGCTGTTAGATACGAGGGGTAGTTGAGTAGTAATTATGTGCGTGCCTTAAGTGAAGGTATTTAGTATAATGCATTAGCACTAAGATTTAATGTTAAAACGACATGTTATTACTGAATTATGCCTTATCAGTGGAATGTCATGATTAACAAAGTAGATGTTTTCTCCTTCTGTAATCTAAAAAAATTGGTTGATCTCAAAGTAATTAAAATTAACCTTGTTTAGGACTAAATTAACTCGCAAACAATCTTCTTCTAACTTCTAGAATATACATAAAAGAAAATAATTAACTATCGTAACCACATTATGCACTAAACTATTATTCCATTGTTATATTAACTTTAGTTGTCCTGTTTAAATTCTTTATCTTTCATATATTTAGATATGATAACTGAGCGAATAGTATAATTGTTAAGCATATGATATATGTGCGTGATCTGAGATCCTTTTATGGATTTTGCTGAATTAGATTAAGAAGTGTATGTAATACGACTGTATCAAATGTATGAAACTATTATGATAGTATATGGCCATTGGTGGCTATCACTAGATTTAGTGAAGCAATAAAGTGTAAGAAGAGGCAAAGTATCAAAGTACTAAAACACCTAAACCTGCGCTAGGAATATTACTAAAAGTTATGTATTTATAGATTATTTAAATACAATTATCCAAAATCACAAAATTTTTAATGGCCTGATTCCCTTGCAAAATCCAATTTGTTTGTTCTATATGAAACTTGTGACAATAGTTAATTAACTATGTTGTTAGCAATTGCCAAGAAAAGCAAAAATATAAATTAAAGAGAATGCATTAAGCACAACCTTACGTCATAATTTATTTATTTAAAAAGCTCACCAACACATTTGCACTAAACTAGATATGATCAACAATAACATTTGGTTTCATGCTAAGTGTAAGCTTAATTATAGGTGACAACAACAATACACAAAATATACAAATAGAGACATAAAACATAATTACACCTAAAGTCCGGTCGCCGAGCAGAGAATTTCGTTCAATGACCCCAAGCCACCTTATCGCTCGCATGTAACTATATTGCTGTTGCTCTCGCACACTCACGCGGGAGCGGGACAGCAACATAATTACGCGTGAGCGATAAGGATGGGTAGTTTGGGGTCATTGTTCGAAATTCTATCTGCTCGGTGACCGGACTTTATGCTATTAGTTATGGATATTAGTTATGATGTGAGGCCCTGCGCTAATACTACTCGGATACCTTTGGATAATTTTATTATAATCATGAGGCATTTATAAATGCATAGTAGACCAACTTTGAAACTGAATATATCACAGAAATTGTGTTATTACATTGTTCAGTGTTTCGTAGGAAATTGTATATAAAGAGTTGTCCGTTCATTTATTAGTCTTAATTTTATAATGTTAATGGTTATCCTCATTCTAATTAGTGGTTAAAATTTGCATACAATTGTATATTTAAAAAAAACAAAAGCTATATTTTTGAAAATTGAAATGAATAGAAGTTAAGTAAATATACCTAAACTATTGAGACGGTAGGACCGCGTGAAGAAATGATGGTGTGATGATTTTTTTTGGTTAATGAATATTATGTAGTTTCATTAAAATTAAAATCTTAGAAATGCTTAAACCATGTCTATTTTTGCTAACGAAGGGCTTTTATGGAAATACATAGTACTATGTAGTAATGAGCATTTTCTTTGTTGCGAGGTTCAACTACCCAATAGTCAAAGTTCTGATTCAGACTAGCTAGCTTTTTTCTTTTTTTCTGGTTATTTTTTAGAACAGGATTAAGTTATCTAATTAAGAAATGTTAATTGCTTTATGTGAGTTCATCAGTCACGTAATTAATTGAAACACATTGATTAACAAATGTGTGCTGTCAATGTGCAATAAAGAGGCAGGTGTACTGAAAAGTCCGTTACGTTCAAATGTTTTCATTTTTTGTTCATAATTGGGAGTCATCCCTGCATAGACAATATTTATCGCGAAGATTATAGAAGAAGCGGATCGCTCTCCCATCACGGCATAGATAAAAAAGACAAAATAAAACTATCTATAGAGTCCGTGCAATGAAAGTAGCGCATATCCGAGCGGTAGCGCAGGAACCCGCTGGCGGGTAGATAATTAATTTCTACATCGGGCTCCTAGCCTACCGTGCAGAATATCAAAATGCATAAAAATTAATAAATTACGTCAAGGAAACTACCATTGCCCTGCTAAGACTAATTTGATTATCACTTGAAATAAGTGAAATTTTCTGTTCATAATCGCCACGAAAATTGAGCTTCTGTAGAAATAATGTTTAGGTTATTCATAAATAAATTGTTATTATGTAAATTGTAAATACCACTCCATAACTTTTTATCTCAAATGTGCAAGTGACACGATCTTTTAGGGCGTGTGTTGAGTTGACGAGCCGGTTTCTTTCTACCCAGTCGGGTAAGTCGCGGTCCGGCTCGATGCCTTGGCCAGTAACCGGCTCGTCGACACACGCCCTTACTAACACATTGAGACCAAAAAGTTAAGGAGATAGTAATGGCCCTTGAGTCACCCCGTTCGTTCTATGAACATCATTCATGCCTTAGGAAATAAATTACATTTTCCATACATTGTATGGATAGAGAACATGATTTATTTATTATATTATTAACGCGGATATTGTGAAACATCTGTAATTTTTTTATTATAGGTTATTATTACCAATCAAGTTTGTACATTATTAAGTTTTTATTGTAATTTAATTTCTTTTCTTATTGACATGAACAAATAAAGTGTATGGGAAAGTTTGGTTTTTATTTATATTGGAGTATAGTCCTTACATGGTTTTGATTATATCACAGGTCAAGTTATTATTTTAGTCTACTGCCCACTTTGAGAATAAATTATTTTTTAGCGCCCCCCATTTTTGTATTCAAGAGTAGAGCTCAGTCGGTGTCTAAGAGTCCTCCTAGTAGATGACGCCTCCCAAGCCTCTACACAACGTCCCGATTTTTTTTTGGGTCTCTTACCGCCCCCCTTTAAGCCTGCAGCGCCCACAAGGGGGCGTTATCGCCCACTTTGGGAAAGACTGCTCTACAGTATTATTGTTCATAACCCAGAATAACATAAATGCTGAGTATAATTTATGACGATCTGTGACAAATGAATTTCCCGCGGGTGAAGCCGTGGGCAAATGCTAGATAAATAATTAAAAAAGATTATTTTGTACAATCCTGAAGGTTTGGCTGCATAGTTTAATGCCCTTGCCATTTCCTACAAAAAAGTCGAACTGAAAAAAGTGACACGTAGTGATGCAACTTCATACAAATTACTGTCAAGGATTTAATCGATAAAAGTGTTGCAATATTCGTTACCGGATATTATCAATCATTTATTGGTCGGGCAACAAAAGTATAAGTGAACTCTGATTATTTGATTACAGAACCTTTGCTTGTATGATGACCCCAACTCTCGTTGCGCGATCTACATGTAAATTATTTTGAATATTATTTATGAATGAATTGAAATAAAAAGGAATTCGATTTCTATCTGCAAATTCAAATAATTTTAATGACATGAAAATGCAATGATCACTACCACAAACATAGTAACAGTAAAGAGGCTCCGAGTGAAACCTTTGCTACCGGACACTACCGGTGGTATATTGAAATTAATGAATTTGATGCTAAGGTCTCCAACCATGAATTTGAAAATGTAATTCCTTCAAGGAGTGAGGTATTTAAACAAAAAAATGCCAGAGTTAAGGCTTATATTATTTCAACTGTCACATTTTGTCAGTTTGACTGGATGTGTCCGGCGGACCGCCGCTGGCGCCATCTGTGGGAAGCTTCGTATATGGAATCCTTTATTGGGAAATCAAATAACTGATGCTTGAAAAATAAAATGATACATTTATGTACGTAGGAAAATGTCACTGAGCTACGACACGAGTGAGCTCATCATATTATTAAGTTTCGAATGAAATGAATTTTGTTTCTTTTCTGTGTATAAGTATTTTTAGATAATTCCTAAAGCTCATCTTATTTTCGAATAAGCCTGCTTTGTCTTCTGATAAGAACTCAATTATTAATTGATCCTAGCATCAATCTTAAGTACTATAACCGGTAGTAGGTACATGATTGGATACAGTTCTAAAATATTTTTTGTAATAAGATGGAATATAATATTTATAAGTATATAATATATAATTTTTTTTTTCTCAAAACATGTAAATTTTATTTATACCACATCATGTTAAAAGAATATAGGTTAATTACATACATACACTTACAAACAGGAATCTTGCGCTACCTTAATAATTAAATTCCTTGGACATTTTTTACACGGGTATTTCGCCGAAACAGTAAATTTTCTGTGTCCAGACAGGCAAACACATTTTTTTTTATATTTATATGTATAAAACTATTTTAATGGGAAAGTTAATCAAAAGTTTTATTTGTTTTTGCTATTACAATAGCAGAAACTACAAATAATACCGTAGAAAAACTTAATCAAAAGTCGTTTTTCTAATTTCCTTGTTATGTCCATTACTGTTGTTTGCTCTTTATATTTGAGAAACGTTTGGCTATCGGAAAATAAAAACTTTAAATGTCAAATACTTAAAGGAAGGAAATAAAGTGAAGTTAAGTTTTTGTCCGAGTCAAAAGTATAATTTCCCTGGGTCTTCTTTTCGACCGTTGTAGTAACGAAACGAAAGAACTTAGAATGTAATGCACTGCACCGTTACACTCGGCCATTTCGTCCCAAGAGGCCATCGAGGCAGGACAGTACTTCCTTGAACAGTTTCGCGACAAATCGCATAAGTCGGTCCCTCCTTGGGTTTTTGTTTACTAAAAAGTCAATTTCTTTGGACGGTTTTTTGCAGCTAAACAATGGATTAATTTTATTGTTTATTTACACGGATGTAGTGTCTGTAGGGGTAAACCCATGATTTAAATAGTAAATGCATAGGGTAAATAGGTTTTTGTCTGTGATGTCTTTTAGGCATAAATCTAATTTCTTTGGCCCTAATTTCCTTGTTTTCCGTGGCATAAAAAGGCCTAGGAAATTATAAAAGACCATTTTTAATACGGCGTAAAGTCAAATTTTGAGTATTTCTTTATTGGAATAAGTTTAAAATTTACATTTTAAGAAATGGGTATCAGAATAGATATAGAACAACTTGTTTTTAACTCTTAACTCAATCTACTGAATTTATCTTCCTTAGTTGTGTAAAAAGGTCGTAATGATACAATAATCATTGGTATGTTTGCTTGCGAAGGTACACAAAAATGGGTCAAACAAAAAAAAAGCAAACCACAGAAGAAAACTTAGAGAAAAAAATATTTATAATAATTTCCTTGGCTACCAAAAATTCATGAAATTATAACTTTGTTTCTAAAACGAATTATGACTTCTTTTAGATATATTAGCTTAGTTTTTGTTACTTAATACAATGGGAAACTAAAAATAGTTAAAAACAAAAATATATTTCGTACCAAGGAAAACAGAGAATCGAGGAGGGTTGGTCTCTATTGTTCTAAGCATTTTCTTGGCTTTTCTTCTGATAGGACCTATAAAGAAAATGACAATTTTAGGTTGATTTTATACTTACTTGACAAAATTGACCATTTTTGGCGAAATACCCACACCATACTTATAGTCCCAAACAAAGCAAAGCTTGTACTATCTATGGGTGCTAGACAACGGATTAATATACTTATATACTATAAATAAATACATTTTAAATACTATAATATAGTATTTAAAAATGCGCTTCCCAAGTATTTTGAAACAGATTTCAAACATTTTGGGGAATTATTAATCGAATCGATACTATTACGATTGAAAGTAGTCGATTTTCGATATATCGTAGCATCACTAGTGACACGTCCACCCACCCTGTCAAACTTCCACGGAACGGAATCATTTCAGTTTTCACCGAAGTTCACTGTTGCGTACAAATTGCTTTATATCCAAGGAGTTTTTGCAGCACAACGATTGTTCATCATCATCAAAAATGGTGAGTAAATAAGTGAATACTTTTTTGCATGTTCAGACAAGTGTATCTGTAGCGTACGCAAAGTGTGATAAGTGTAAGTTTCGGATTGTACACTGTTGTATGTCGGCGTCGAGTCGGTTTTAGTATTTAGGTTCCACGTTACCAATATGCGTTGGAAGTGCAGATGCGGTTTCCTAGTCGTGTACACCGAGATTTAGTTCACGTTTACAACATAGACATCTTGTGCTAGGCGTGTGCATTGAGTGAGAGGAGCTGTCTAGAAAATATAAATGGTATTCATTAAATAGTAGAAGTCTTTTAGTCGTCTAAAACAATTGTAAAATCAATGTTTCTATTTACAAACGGTCCCTTGTGCTTACTCAATCCTTAAGTTTTTTCTACAAACAATGTTCCTATGTACCAACTATAGAACTGCATTTCATCATAATGTCATGTTACATAGGATTTTATTGATTTGAACAAGATTTTATAACATATTAAACAAACTACTATTACTAATCATGTTTTGCAAGATGCTCTTTGATTAATTTATAGAAAACTACCAAAGGAAGCTAAATACTATCTAAGTAGTCTAACTAGATTTTTTCTAATTTGGTGGTAGAACTGAGCATCTTTTTGTTCTTCCAGTTATTTTATTTCATTATATTATATTATTACTTTTGAATAGCTTTGTATGCAATAAAGACTATATCAACAATGTTTCCGCAGCCGTTGAGGTTGGATATCAAGAGGAAGTTGATGGCGAGGTCGGACCGCGTGAAATGCGTGGACCAGCACCCGACCGAGCCGTGGCTTCTGTGCTCGCTGTACAACGGTGACGTCAACATCTGGAACACACAGACCAACACCCAAATCAAGAGATTTGAGGTAAGTGACTCTTGCTGTATGATGAAATAATCATGTAATCATTTTACACAACCATATTTTTTTGGTGCTGACCACACCCAGATCGACCACCCGTTAAATTTGTGAACGCCTAAACAATTTGCAGCTATTTATTTCATTCTTTTGTGGAAAAATAAACAGTTTAGTTATAGGATTTAAAAACTACAGTGATTAGAATCCTATGTGAACATTTAGGTATGGACAAGGCTGTTCAGATACAAAAACAAGTGATTTTATTTTAGTGTTTGTATCTAATACTACATAAAGCATTGAGTATTGATGTTATAGGAAGATTGGATATCTTAATTTGATAATTCTTTAGTTCAAGACTTCAAGTGTGGTATAATAATAATGCATTTTTAAATGGTTTTCAGTTGTTACAAAATAACTCAATATTATTATTTATACATAAATTCATTCTTTGTTGTACTGGGCTGTTTACAAACAGAATTTTAAGCTGAATCATAACTTTCTTATTGGAATTGCAATTTGAAGTGTTTATGTAATCTTTTTATGGCTAGAATTACTAGTGGGTTAGTATTGGACTAGGTTGATTGTTAATAAATATTAATTACTAGCTTTTGCCCGCGGCTTCACCTGCGTGAAATTTAGTTTGTCTCATATCGTCATAAATTATAGCCTATGTGTTATTCTGGGTTATAAACAATAATACTGTAAAGTTACATCAAAATCCATTCAGTAGTTTCTGCGTGAAAGAGTACCTAACAAA